TCGCCACTGGTGTTAGCCACGACCGGGAATCGCATTCAGCTCGGGCGGAGGGGCTCATAGCCCGTGGCACAAACCACCGTGCCACCGCTGCTAAAATAATCTTGTGCCTCTTTGCTTGTTGTTAAACAAGGCCACCGTACTGACCATTCTTGGCATTGCCAAACACGAAGATATGACTCCAGTGGCACGACTCTACTTCACAAAAGGGAAAGCCTTTGTAAAATTCCTTCTGGTTTCCGTTTTGGGGCACGCTAAAAAGCAACCTCGCTCGCAAATGAATGAATAAATGAATATGTCGAAATCCGCGTCGCAAGCTTTTAGCAACAGCAGACAATGAGACAGTGACGAGGGATATGGAAAGAATTGTGGGCAGTCGTGAATGCTGTGTTCAACTATTTTCCATTCTCCAATGTTCCTTTTGAATGAATCATGCAAAACATGTCCAATTCTGTGGGCAAAATGCCATAAAGTCTGTGGCTGTTACCACCAACAAACGCAACAACCGAAATTTTTAAAAGCCATGTCAATGTCCACACGCCACAACTCAAAACGTGACACATTTATTGTGTCCTTTTATTTTCGGTGTCCATAACCTGAGACTATTTCCAATCTCTTCACAATTTTCCGGTTTAACATTTCCCTCCAATATAAATAGTGCAACTGTGTCGGCATGAATACCCTACAGAGGGGGCAGGAAACATTCCTGAGGCTGATTTCGTGACCTTGTCTGCACCGGATCGCCTACGATCATGGCGGGGTTTTGTTGTAATTTTACGAGCGAATTCTGCCCTCTACCGTGTGCGGACCAGAGGTCACTGAAAGGGATGTTGAAGAAGTTACTCTGCGACATCCGCTTTTGTGGACCGTTCTCCAACACAAAGGGCCACACGGACTCTGCGAGAGACCAGAATGGATGCTGTGTCTTGTGGTGTGATGCTGACAGCACAATCGGGATAAAAAAATGTAGGGGATTTTTTTGGTTTCAAGTGTTCTTGAATCCGCAGCGTTACAAACGTTCCCTAAGTCTGGTGCAATCATGGCGCCTGTCGCAAGGTTTACTCTTCACGCACACGTATGCCAGAGTATTTACATTTTAGTCGAATGTTTATCAACTTTATATCGCCTCATAGCAAAAAATGTATTCAATCAGAGCGTCGTTTAGTTAGTCTAGGTATTCAACATATTTGGTTAACGGAAGATTGCGGTTATAAGAATTGAGCTGATAATATAAATACAATCGACACTGGGCATAAACACAACCATTGGAAACGAGACCATCTGGTGATTATATCGAGAAGTGTGCTTGAATCAGAATGTGCTCTTTGTCCTCCCACCACCATTGTAGCATAAGCATGTGTTGCTTATATCAGAACTATACTTATATTAGGTGTGCTTATATCCAGCTTCTGCTATAATTAGCAAAAAAATTTACCCAGTGAATATTTTTCAGGAGGATCTTGCATTGGGATATTTGGTTATTTCTACGAATGAGTCTTTGGCTTGTGGGAGTACCCAGAGAAAACGTACACTTACAAGGGGACACCATTCAAAGCTCAGCACAGAGAGATGTAATACTGCACGGCTAACTTCGGGACACCTTGCAGCTCAAGCCGACAACACCCCGGGATTCCCAGACAGTCTCCCATCCAAGAACAAACCAGGCCCAACTTTGCTTAGCTTCCAATATCCGATGAGATCAGGTTGCATTTGGGGCAGGTGTCAGGAACCAAAATAACAAGAAGGGCCATTTTGGTCCTTATTTGGTAAAAAAATAAAACTCAATATTTCAAGAGCCGCAATGCACGTGAATACGAGGCGGCAGTCCTGAATAAATAATGTCACGAAGCAGTCCTTAAATAGCCGCAGGTTGCCTACCCCTGATTTAAGGTAATTCGTCCAACTATGTGGGGTGAGAGCTGCCAACAGAAACTTTGTCAGACAGGGTTAAACGGGCTTTTCCCAATGAAAGCCCTCCAACATCCTACGTAACACATCGGCCGCCTTCAGTCACTGCACTGCAGCCTTAGCTGTTAACCAAATGACCCTATTGTACACGAGGCATGGCTTCCAGTTATCAAGGCGGGATAAATTAGGAGGGTGAAAAAAGTCGGCGCACGAATTACGACGCCCTCGTGCGTAACCGGCTCGCACGTTTCCACGGACGCAAACAAAGCCCCACATTGCAGGCGAACAGAGCTCGCGAGAAATTTGGGATGTGGCACATGACGGTGAGTGCGCCGACTGTGCACTGCCCTTCGAGTTCGGTTTTTTTCCACGAGTTTGAATGAACCGTGTGAGCAAGCATTCCACGGCCGGTGTGCTTTACACACTAGAGACTCGTGTCGTTTAGGTCGTATTCATACCAGCGCCAACGTTTCGAGGCCCACCTTAAAAATTAAAGAGAGCCCCATTTTTTAAACTCAGCCTAGGTGTGACCGGTACGTACTGAAGGATCAATTCAAACTCGTGAGCGTGATTTTCATGAGGGGCATTCGCCGCACCCACCGCTTAAAATTATTGCGCCATAAGTGAAAAGTTTCCTTTCATTTTTTCTTAATTGCGTATTCAAAAGTAACATTGCGTACCCCTGCAAATGGACCACATGGTTAGTGGGTGTCCTGGTGCACAGAGGTTTAGTAATCAAACTATTAAACAGTACGTAGCATCTCCGAGCGTCACATATCCTCCCTCATCAATTAACTGCTCACACCCTGTGCAGTATTTGTGCAATGTGTAACTTTCATTTTCTAGATATCTGACCTTTGATCTGACCTTTTCACATATGGTTTATCGAGGATATTTCTGTTGCGCGTCGTCACTTTAAGATGTTCTCTGTTCATATTTAGTTTGTTGCGGTTGCACCCGACTCAAGAGCCGCATGGCTCACAGGGCTACACCTAATACATGAAACTTGAAACTTGAAACCCCAGATCCCAGACAGTTGGATATGCAATGCTGTAATGCACTATAAATAATACAACAACATTATACATCTCGCCAATTAATCTATGTAGGCCTCCCTAACATCACATTAGCCATCGGAGTATTTTAACTATACTTCACCAGACTGGTCAGCGTGGGTTGCTGTAGGGGAACTTCCAGAAGCGGTTGAGATGTCACTCGTCACTGACGTTATCCTTGGCCTGGAATCAAACTAATTTAAGCAGATTTCGATTTAAAGCTTTCGTGACTGCAGGGATTCATCATCTTGGTTCTTTCGGTAAAGTCACGTAGAAGGGAAGTAATAAAAGAATAAAAATAAAACATAATAAAATAATGCTCACGACGTTTCAGCCACAACGCAAATAATTCTCACGACGGCTACTTGCGTTGTGGCCGAAATGTCGTGAGAATTATTTTATTATGTTTTATTTTTATTATTTTATTACTTCCCTTCTACGTGACTTTACCGAAAGAACCAAGAAGATAATTTAAGCAGGTTTATAATGCAGTGCATTAACCACCACTCAACCCCATAGGGCCACATTACGTATTACTTTAATAATTCACAGCATTGGCAGCGTATGACCGTGATCCGATACCGTGGAGGCGAGGGTCGGTAGATCACACGAATGTTGTGAAACTTCCTTTCCGTGGACATCGGGCTGCCATACCCCTGGCTTTCCAGGAGAACACGGGTTGACAAAGTGCGGAATAATATCATCTGTCCCATCTTAATGGGATAGAGTGTTGCTCCCTCACACACGTGGGTTTTCTCCGGGCGCTGCGGTTTCCTCCTATACGTATTAACACTCATGAATTGGTTGAAAACATTTCTAAATATAAAGGACTGCAGAGCTTGGGCAATTGTTGGCGGCGGTGGCTCATCGCCTGGCCGTTGCCTTCCTGCTTGTTTGCAGTTCCTCGGCGATTTGCGAGATTCAATTCGCAACTAACGATGCAACATAACATGAAAGCATTATTGATATTATTATTTACTTACTATACCGAACCACTGCAAATGTAAAACCAAAAAAAAATAATTTCGATTTAAAGCTTTCGTGACTGCAGGGATTCATCTTCTTGGTTCTTTCGGTAAAGTCACGTAGAAGGGAAATAATAAAATTATAATAATAAAACATAATAAAATAATTCTCACGACGTTTCGGCCACAACGCAAGCAGCCGTCCTCAGGTGAAACCAGGTCTGTCTACGTGACTTTACCGAAAGAACCAAGAAGACAAAAAAAAATACTTAAGCTGCAGAATGAGGATGCAAGTTCCTGTTTTCAAGCCAAGTGCCCCCCGGGTCAACGGCACATCGTGTCTTAAGTGGAAACGGGTTCGCTCACTCTGCATTCACTGTCAACTTTTATTCATTCAGGAAAGCAGTTGTGGGTCCCTTGTGGATCTCGTACCATTCGCCAACGGAGTTTTTTTTTCAGCACGAGAAATAAAACAGATGGCACGTGAGCGATGGCTGTAATAATCCAAGCGAGGCAGACAGGTGTGGACCCTCTACAAGGGGCTTTCCAACCTCCCAGTGTCAAAAATCACTTTTGGTCCATTGGTGAAGGAGCAAAACCAGTTGCTTGTCTCACCGAATCTGTCCAGCCGTAGAGGCCGTTACTTAATACTGTAGAGATGTTGAAGGTTGCACTTCTTAGAATTTAACCTTAATTAAGATTCTATGAATTTCTAGAAAAATGTATGTGTGGAGCAGTGACGCAGAGGTTGGTGCATTGTGTCAACCAGGCTAACTGAGTGTTTAACTCCTGGCCATGGCTAACATAAATGGCCACCAACATGTACTGTGTTGAACTTATTTCGCACCGTACGTAGCCAACGGTGCTAACTGGACATCTGAAATTCACCACAATCATGAGAGCATAGAGACACTTCATCTCGACTTGAACGAAAGAAAAAGACCTAAAAAAAAACAATCTCCTAGAACGCTCCACTCTCATCATCTTTTGACGCACCGTACGGGTACGTAACCGTGTCCCAGCCGTTTGCGTACATGTCAATGAACCTCCCCGTGCTGGGAATCGCTGCTGGCAGATCGCACCTGAAGAAGAGGACGCACGGCTACTGGATGCGGGACGTGAACTGCACGGGGAACGAAGTACACCTGGCCACGTGCCGCTTCCGCACGGTGCCGGCGCGGAACAACGTGACGGGCTGCCGGGACGGAGGCCCCGCCGTCGTCAGCTGCGTCCCGGGGCCCGGATACGCGCACAGCCACAACTCGGGCTTCAGGAAGGCCTACCGCAGCGAGGTGGGGCCCTCACTGCCACCACCGCCACCCAGGTCACTCTCTCGCTCTCTCTCTCTCTCGCGAACGAGATTCATCCCTTTTGTCTCTCAAGTTTCCACCTCTGGTTGAAACTAAATTAACATGACTTCACCTGACCACCAAACTGCTAGGAGCACAGGTGTTCAGAGTTATTACAATATTAATGCTTCTCAGCTAAGGTTGAAGGTGCGTATGCCTTAGCTCTCTCCGTCTGTCTACTATTGCTCTTGTAAAGATGGTCGAATATGAGCACAACTCTACTATTGTGTTGTTCTTGGGAAATTAGCCTCGCCCAAACTTGAAGCCGCAATCCAGAACAAACAGGATTATTTGCAACTATGCAGAAGCGTTTTGCCGTGACAGCTATCCGTCAGCGTCCTTACTGATAATTACATTCTTCAGTAGAGACACACATGGGGAAAAGCTTTATATCATCCATGCGTATGTACTGGATTGCGAAGAGACACTCTGATTTGGCCTTTCGGCATAGCCCCATCTGCCTCAACACATCCTCAATACAATCAGTTGCACGGCTATGAAAAGGGGGGAGGGGGGGAACTAGACAGGGGCCCATTGAATTCTTTGCACCAGCGCCTATACCAAGCACGTTTTGCCACCGTATGCAAAAACCTGCAGTTCCATCGCACAAACTCCGGTCATCCTCGCAGTGGATTTTGGCTGGCCATCGAACAAAAACGGCTACCACATCGCGCGCTTTCAGATGCGCTTCTGCGGCCGTCTGGAACGCTCTTCCTTCCGATGTTAGGAAGCCACTGGAGCTGTGCACTTTTAAATCTTCATTCAAAACTCATTCCTTGAGAACTGCGTTTTGTGCTTAGTTTGTTGTCCTTCACGCTGCGCCTCCGACGAGCACGATTGTCTACGTACGGTGCGAAAGAGGCTCCACATGCACACACACGAACGTCCCACGCAACCGCGCTCTCCTGCAGCAACCGCTCGTGAGGCTGAAGGGCGGCGCGCAGATGGGCGAAGGCCGCGTGGAGGTGCTCAAGAACGGCGAGTGGGGCACGGTGTGCGACGAGCGCTGGAACCTGGTGGCGTCGAGCGTCGTGTGCCGCGAGCTGGGATTCGGAGCCGCACAGGAGGCAGTGCCCGGCGCGCGCTTCGGACAAGGTGATGATGCCGGGGCTGGGGGGAGTGGGGGGCGCGGAAGGTGGTGGTGGGGGGTGTTGGCGGCGGGGTATTTAGAATCGTGCGTGCAGAGCATTCGGCCGTTATACATTTCCACGCGATAAGCCACTTCGTTGAGCTCTCATTTAGGGCCAGGTCGCTTCTGAAAAAGAACTGTATAGCTCAGTGGGTCGTATCTTTTTAAATGAAATCAAAGTTTTTATTTAGTTTACTTGTCCGAAAGAGGGACAGGGCAGACTCACATCTCGGATGGCAGGTTGTGATTATTCCCGCGTGATCATCGGCATCGTCAGGATATTGTCGAGGTTGAGCGATGATGTAATGCAGTGCGAGATCCACGGCGCCACCGATACCTCCGGCATTATTGAATAAGTCAAGTAAAATTACGTACAGACCTTTGTCAATCTACTGCTGGATGAAGGCCTCCGTAGGCCGTGTTGATCACGGTGGTTGTTTAACCAACCGTACTTTACCACGCTGGTCAATGTGGGTTGGTCAAGCGGGCCTAAAATCAGTTCAGAGAGCACTCGCCATTAACGTGAATCTGGGAATCGAACTCAGGCATCATGTTCAGTGCCCCTACCACTGTGCCACTTCTGCACTCCAATCAATCCCAATCCTCTGGTAGTCGGCCATCGCACGTACCGTAAACTCCGAGTTTCAAACAAATATGAGCAAAGTATAAAAACCGAGTATGCACCGTCGTGAAATATTATGCCCAATAAAATTTGTTAATTGAGTTATATTGATCTTTATCAGTCCGTGGACCTTCCAGACCAACATTATCCAGGAGCATACAGTATGTTTAAAAAAGAAAACTCTGGAGCGGATTTGAAGTCTGATCTCATCAGTAGCGTGGAAGATTTTTCCAATAGCATCTGGTAACCCAGCATATGTATCATTTTGTCAACACAATAGATAAACACGAGGTTTCTCTGACTTAAATGTGAAACTCAATGCATTATTCTGCTGCTACTGAAGCAGTCGCTCTCGTATAGAGGGAACAAAACCGGCCTTTAAATGGAATTGTGCACATTGTGGAATGCCTGGACTGATTTTTGCTGAGAACCAATTTCAAACGCTCTCCCATCGAGGGTCAACATTCTTAACATTTATCAAATTCACTTTTCATTAAGGATGAAGGCAGGGATGAGAAAGTACCTTTGCGAGTTAAGTGTAAATTTAAGAGGACATTCACATATTCATGAACCATCTGTGTCTCATTCCTGGACTACCTGCTACATCAGAAGCTGCAATCCTTCACACTGGACAGGGAGAGTGCCTTTATCAGCTGCTATACTAGTGGTGTGGCAACTGCCTGAAGCATGCAACACGTAGGTGGCAAATAGTCACAATTTTACAATTCGGTCATTTATCTTAAGCGCAGCTCACCCGGTAGAATGCTCGGCTCGTGATCACGAGGTCGTCAGTTCAAATCCCGGCCACGGTTAACTTTTAACCTCACGTCCCTCCGGTGTTGTAAAAATGATCAATGCCTGCTGAGCATCCACCCGCTGGAAAGTCATTCGAGGTTATGGTACAACACACAACGTGCAGCTCTTCTGGCGATCCACTGCTGGATGCGAGGATTCCTTCCCATTCCATGTGGATTGTGGCGGTTATTTTACCATAGTTTACCAGGCTGGTGAGGGTGAAAAGCGTAGATGTGGTGGCACAGGCTCAACCCCGCTCGGCTTCTGAGATAAGCTGCATTTCGGGCGATTTGGCCAACCGAGGTTACCTTACGGATAAACTGACCTTTAACCGTAGGAATGTCGAATTTCAACCGGCTCAAAAAAAACCGAGAGCCCGTTAGTGCACGCGCGCCATTGGTCGGTCTGGATTCGTTTGCCGATCGCGCTCCACGCTGCAGCCACCTCCGCACTTCCGCCGACCGTCACTCAGGCCCGGCCGGACGGGGGTCTGCGGCGTCCCTTAGGGGGGCGAGGGAGCGCGCGAGCAGTGCGTGAGAGCAGCTGCTTATCACGCCCCAGCGACAGCCTTGAAAGAACCCAGGAATTTGGCAGTGGCAGACTCTGAGCCCTCGGGGGGGCAATAACGGCATCGGCAGGGGGCGCAGACGAACTCAATTAACCTGAACTGCTACAACAACTACTTAAATATCGCGGTGCCCTACCGAGAAAAGTCCTTTCTTGGCGAAGGCATCCACCACTGTTTCAATGACAGAAGCCTGTTTTATTGGTCTCTATTTTCACATTGCACCTATGCAGTGATGATTGTGGGGAGGGGCAGAGGTGGCGCAGCAGAAAGCACACTGTGCTATGCGCCTTGCAACCCGAGTTAGATTCCCGGCCATGGCTAATATTAGTGGTGAGTGTTATCATCTGAACCAGTACTGGGCACCTGGTTCACCAACCCGCACTGACCAAGATGGTGAAGTATGGTTAAATTTCCCCCATGACCGCACAGCATGGGAAGGCCTTCATCCATCATCTGATTGACAAAAGGGCTGTTCATGTACACATTATTTCAAAAGCATGGGTTATTGGCCACTGTAAAATAACATGGCGCGCACACGCAGTGCTGGTTGTTATGACACGGATTCCTGTGAGGTTTGTAATGCAATACGGATGGAGCATTGCGAATGAACTCGGAGTTAAGGACTAGAAACTCAGTGACCTCCAAAAATGCATGAGAAAGTCAACGTTCGCCCAGAATGCACGGCGTCTTAAAAGGCCGCGGTGTCTCCTACAACGCAGGTCGATAGGTACCCGGAGAGGTCGCGGGCTGAGCGAGAGGGCATTCGCTTTGCTGCAAATGTGGCGCAAGAAACTTCAACGAAGGAATGCGCTGCCAAAAAAATAACAAACACAGGAGAACCCAACACAACTTTCGGTAACCTCCGGGTAAAGAGGACATTGCAGACAATTAGTGTAAAGGCATTGTGGAGAGGACACGCTTATGAAGTTAACTTTCTTTTCGCACGACATGCTACCTTATTCTCAGTTGATTCGTTACAAGATTCGGCTTTCCAGCAGCATTACAACAGAGAGCGATTTTGTGAAACCTTCCTACCCTGCTACTGGAAGCAGGCACGGGCTTTCTAGTCAGTATCCTCTTGCCAAGCATAAGTCACCTCGGGGGCTGCATAGAGGTCAGATTCTTTTGCTTGTAATCTTCCGTCATATTACCTGTGACTAACAAAATACGAGCGAACCAAGCACACGTGCTAGAACACCACGCGGCGGTTCCGTGTGCCCTCCATCGCCCGCTCACCACCGCACCCCGTCTCCCTGCCGCACCCCACCGCCACCTGCTGCCCGCCAGGCACGGGGCCCGTGCACATGACGCAGGTGGTGTGCAAGGGCGTGGAGAAGTCCCTCACCGACTGCAAGTTCAGCGAGGTCGGGGGCAACTCGTGCAGCCACCGCGAGGACGCGGCCGTGCGCTGCCACGTGCCGGCCATGGGCTTCGAGACACGGGTGGGTGGCAAATGCAGACGAGGGTGGCAGCTCGGGGCGAGGGTTGGTGGCAGCTAGATGCGAGGGTGAGTGGCAGCTAGAGATGAGGGTGGGTGGCAGCTAGATACGAGGGTGGGTGGCATTTAGAAACTAGACACGGGTGGGTGGCAGCTCGGAGCGAGGGTGGGTGGCAGCTAAATGAGAGGGTGGGTGGCAGCTAGAGATGAGGGTGGGTGGCAGACAGAAGCTAAACAGAAAGGATGGGTGACGGCTGCTATGGTCAGGACCGGACAGAGAGTCGAAAAGGATTTTCAAATGCCTTTGGCGAGGTACATCCGTCAGTCACTTCTGTCCCTGAAGAGGGCCTTGCTAGGTTGCACTCTGTATGACACTCGTGTGTGCATATAAATAAATAAATAGCCCACAAATATGAACGATAAACGGTAAGTCATTAAGGTTAAATATGAAAATGTATTACAGTGTAAGGGACAAGAAACCTCCAAATTTTTAATTCCCAACAAAGGCAAAAAAACAACCATGTGATCAAGATTCCTACAAAAAGCACATGCTGCATTACATTGCACCCTTTGAATGTCCCAGAGTGGAGCTCCAGATTCATGCACCGGGCATGCGAAGAAACTGATATTCATTGTTTTTTAACTGGAAAGTTGTAAAAAAAAAATGTGGCTCACATTTGAATTGTGTCCGCTAAGTAGCGCCAACCCGGTCCAAGCACAGTCTAACTTTATCCTCCCCCCCCCCCCCCCCCATATATTTCCCTTTAATATCAGGGGCGCCGAGTTCAAGATAAAAGTTTAAAGGCTTACGATGCATGACTTTTATCGCCGCCCCGAACCCGTTGCCCGACAATCTGAATGCTGCCACACTGGGGCACGACCAGAGACATTCACATGCCTCTCTTGGTGACACCGCGGGGGGGGGGGGGGGGGGGTTGCAAACGACATCTACACTGCAGAGCAGTGGCAAGCCAGTTCAGAGTGCAGAGAGCGTCAGCGGCTAATATTGCAGGTCTTAACGTGTGCACCGACCGACTGCCGAGATGATTGTTTTTTGCCGACTGTTGTCAAAATGCTCACGCTCAATTGATCAATTGCAAATGTGTCGTTTCTCTCCTGCCTCGCGCTGCAATTGGAAGTGAGAAGGTAAGGTTTTGCGTTTTATCGTTGAACGCTTTAACAATTTTACACGTTTAGAAATAACGATTGCTTCTATGCTTTTTATGCGTTGGCTTTTCCGAGTGATTTACCTATGCGCTGAGTTTAGCCCTGTTCAAATTTGAATGCTTTGTGATTTTGCTGGATTTGTTGTAAAATGTTATTTGTTGTAAAATGTAAATTTTTTTATTGTTTAAATAACACTGCTTCCTTTACAGTTCAAAATGTGTTTGACGCAAGAATGTTGTAAATGCATTAACGGTGATTTTTTACCATTTGCATCTGTTCCTGAAATTGATGAATGCACGTGTGTTTTGTGTTGCATGTGCACCATGTATCAAAACGTTATGCACATTGTACACACATGTAATTTGTTACGTGTGTTTTTGTGTGTGTTTGTATACAGTTAAGGACTATATTTGCATGTTTTTGGACACCCTATATTCGTAATTTATGTGTCGAGGCTTGCGTGCGTGTGTGGATAAATTTAAGTACTGCGCTCTTTGATCCTCGTATACCCGCACTTTGTGTGTATCAGTATCCGTATTGTTTATCTGCACCATGTGTGTGTGTGTGTGTTCATATAAAGTAGCGCACCGTGCGCGTGTTTGTGCATTCACAGAAGCATTCCTAAACACGCAGGTGTCAAGCTGCCACACCGTGTGACCCCATGGGCGACCGGACACGACCCCATCCCTGCGATATTCACTCACTCGCCCATTCGTCCATTTGTTCCGTTCGAGAGAGCGAGCGAGCAAGCGGACGAACGTTCACCCCTGTGGCTGTTGTTCCGTTCGAGAGAGAGAGCGAGCGAGCGGGCGGGCAAGCAAGCGGACGAACGCTCACCCCTGTGCCTGTCCCCCTGTTCCCGTATTCACTGCTAATGGCACAGATCCGCCTGACGGGCGGGCGCAACACGCGCGAGGGCAGGGTGGAGGTGCTAGTGGATAAGGGCAATGGGAAGCACAAGTGGGGATACATCTGCAGCGAGGACTGGAGGACCCTGGAGGCCACGGTGGTGTGTCGGCAGCTCGGCCTGGGTTTCGCAGCCCAGGCTATGGAAGTATGTACCCGCGGGGGTTCCTCCGATCGTTGAAAACAAAAACAAAACGAGTGGATGTGCAAGGGAAGTTGTCGCGACGGTTGTGCCGATGGGATCGACGGCGACCGCGAGATCAAAGCGCCGCCCGCAAACCGCCGGTCTGCCGCCGCCGCCTTTTTGCCTTCACTCCGCAGGTTCCACGGCTGCGCTTTGAGATGGGGGCCTTCTTTTGCAGGAACGAGCTCGGCTTTGTGGCTTCGTCGCGTTAAGCGAGGGGACGGCATCAGCCCGTCGCTTTGGCTGAAGCGGCCGCAGCATCTCCATGAAAGTGGAATTTGTGCCATCCATTGTTTCAGCTCTCACTCCGCTCTCTTGTCCAGGGTTCGGCTTGGGATTTCAAATCACTCAGGCGGGTGCCGGGCGCTTGAGCTCGGTGGTTTCTGACTTTTGCCTGCAGCATAATGCCGAGATTTCAGCAGCATGGAGCTATCTCAGTCATTCCCTTTTTTGCTTCTCCGCATAGTCCAGAGGGCTCTACCTGAAAGGTAAATGGACACCGCCACTTTGGGTGTGAAAGACTTTTTTTCCCATTGACTTGTTAATTTCGGCCAACAACGGCATTCGCTTTTGTCATCTTTGCAACGACGATCACAGTGACACGCGCTGAGAGGTAGTCGGATAATAACTATAAAATAATAACGGCTGTCATATACTCATAGCATTATTAAAATATATACCCTTGTCTAAATAAAATATATTATACTTCATTAAATATACAAGCGTAACAAAATACTGTGTATAGAGTACATACTAAAAATACTCAAGAAGGAATTGGCCAAACATCCCAAGCCTGTGTTATGGCTTCGGTTACGAAAAATATACTTTTTATTTCTCATATATGTGTACCCATACACATCTAAATTTGCCTCAAGAGAGCGTAAGAAAATAAAACAGCGGTGTGAATAGCGATAATTGGCAATTTCCAATGTTTTTTCGGCTTGAACTGCGTATTGTTCGGCATGATGTCCGACGTTTTGCTCCACGTGCTGGGAGCTTCAGGAACCGAATTCAGTTACCCAGAATTCCTGAGGAAGCTCCCAGCACGTGGAACGAAACGTCGGACAACGCCGCCATCCAACCCAAAAACACTTTGGGAGAGCTCTACAGCCCAACCGCAAAAAAAACCCAACGAGTAAATGGAAAAGTCTTTCAAGATGTCTATGTGCCTTTCTGACGGAGACGCCAACGCCTCTCTGGTGAGCGGGAGGCCACTTCTCAAGTGCTGCCCTGTCGCATGAACGCCGTTGGATGAACGCACGCGGCTGCCCCCCCCCATTCCTTCCGCTGCCCCCCGCTGCCCCCCCCCCCACTTCCACGCTCTCTCTCTCTGCCGCCGCTCTGTCGCTCGCTCCTCGCAGATCCGCTTAACGGGCGGACGCAACGAGTGGGAGGGCCGGCTCGAGGTGAGGCGATCCAAAAGGTGGGGCACGGTTTGCGGCGACGGGTGGACGACGCTGGAGGCCATGGTGGCCTGTCGTCAGCTGGGCCTGGGCTTTGCTGTGCATGCGCTCACGGTATGTGGCCGGTGCTGACCCCCACCGAGAACTCTCTGTGCTGCCGTTGTACACGCCCTGGTCTCCGCGGTGTTGGTGTTGAGCTGGCCACAAGGATGTGCTGTCGTCGTCGTCGTCGTACTTGCCCACTGGGCTAGCAGTCGACCTCCCCCCCCCACCCCCCCCCCCCCCCCCCAGTGTTACGCACTGCTGTCCTGGCAGCGATGAGCCACCGCAGAGCTAAACGTGTCTTGGTGCGTGCCCAGTGGCCAATGTTGACCCTCCTAAGTGCTGCGGTGACCTCAGGATGGGTGCGTACACATCGTCGACGGGCGCTGTGATGGTCCATCAGAACGTTGTGTTGAAAGCAGAGGTCGCAAACGGGTTTTGATTCCTTACCCGTACCCGTACCCGGCCGCACCAGGGTCGCAAATGGGTACCCGTACCTGTACCCAGCCGGGTACGGGTACCCGTTCCCTACCCGTACCCTACCCGAAATTAGTGACAAACGGCTACTCACCAGTGACTCACAGCCTACCCGTACCCGGCAGCACCCTGGTCGCAAACGGCTACCCGTACCCGTACCCGGCCGGGTACGGATAGCCGGGTATCGGGTAGGGTACGGGTATCGGGTACCCGGTTGCGACCTCTGGCTGAAAGTAACACACGGCCGAAGATCATTGCTGACCCACTACAAGACATTATTCTGTTGGTAACTTCCCAGTGGCTATTGTTAACTCACGACAACACAATAATCCCACGCTAAATGTGCAGTGGTAATTGTTGACCCGCCACAACACTGAACTTCACATTTATATTTCACGATTGTGTAGCGTGTGTTTCGCGATGCGGTCACGCCTTGGCTCAATTCAGAAGAAGTGTGGTCACTAAGGGGAACGGAATGTACTCTGTGGCCGGGTAGGTCGAATTTGTGATTAATTTTGTGATTCTTGTTTTACTTGAGTTACTTAAGGTAACATTAGGTTACGCAGCTGCTGCCCTCTCTCACTAAACCAGCTATTGTTCTATTCAGAGTTTCTACCAATCATGCTGATTGCGCGTGGGTGTGTGTGCGCGCGCTTATGTGTGCGTGTGTGAGCGCGTGTGCGTACATGTGGGTGCATTGCTGCTTTTCACGCACTGCGCCATGAACCCAGTGACCTGGGCTCGATTCTCAGCCAAGGATAATATTTGTGTGAACTTGTTATGTGCCTCCTCGAGATAGACGAAGCATAAAATGGGTACATGGGGCCATGTGTACCACTGGGGAGACAAAGACAGCAGGTCTGGTGGTGGTGACCACACCATGCCTGTGTGTGCCATGCCAGCCCTTCATAGATGCTCACAAAGAGCACTTGCCCCAACAACAGTATGTTAAAGGCTGCATGGAGGACCTGTGTATTTTTGCACGTGGAGGACAGTTGCTCACACGATGCGCTATCTTTGTCTGTCGCTCGATTCTCAGCCACGGATAAAGATAACATCGTCGGCTGGTGGTGTCTCAATCTATCCAGGGCCTCCCTTAGGTCACCTCGACCTTAAATGAGTATCCAGCGCAGCGCATGCACATCAGCACTGGGGAGACAGATGCAGCCAGGCGATTCGCTGAACGCAGCATCCCTTTGTGCACCATGCTGGCAACAATTGATTCTCGCTAAGACCATTTGCCCCTGCAGTCTGTAAGGTTAAAAGGGAGAATGTCCGTATGTGTGTGTGTGGGTGTAGTCGTCTGATCAGCAACCTGCAGCACAGGGATCTGGGTAAAATTCGTTGTCATAACGCACGCACACTACCTAGTGGGACATTATATTTGGACCTCGTCAAGGTTGGCTCAGCCTAAAATGTATAAATATCTGATTCATTGTGTCCATGTCAGGAATTAGGGACAAAGGTGGCAGAGCCAAGGTGTTTACCATGGCCCGCCTTGCATTGCCTTTTGAAATGCGCAACGAAAACATTTCAATTGGCAGCTTCACAAGGCTAAAATGGGGCATCTTTGTCTATGCGTGTCATCTGGTGTTTGTGTAAATGCCTGTGGAGGTTTATTGTTCGGAAAACTGAGTCAGTGTTCTGCAGAAAAATGTAATCGGGAGCTGCCCCCAAGTCACGTCTAAATAGACGCAAGATTTAGTGACCGGTGGTAGCACGGAACTCAGAGTAGATCCAGAAAATTGAGACCCATCCTCGCCCCGGCCAACGGAATGAGAAGTATCAGCGAAACTGTGATATTACTGATATTGAGGTCACGTGCAGTGGGGAAAGGTGCGCCCCCCCCTACTTCTTCTAAGATGTTTTACCAGTGTAGAGGAGAGTATGCCAAAATATTTTCTAGAGGCCCTTCCACCAACAGTGGCTCAGCAGGACATTGCAGGGCTGCGCTTTTACCACTTTTCCGTTGAAATTGCTGTCGTGACTTTAGAATTCTTTCAGGTAACTGCGTTTCCTAAAGTTGCCATTTTGGGTCCGGTCTTGGTTATTGTAATGCCGGTAGCCCATTGTGTTTGTTTGGTCAGCAAAACCTCGACCACTTAACTGCAATTTTCTTAAAAGCTGTATTTTCTTTCGAATCGAGTTTCTTTCATTCTTCACATTATGAGAGGCACAGGGCAGCGGAAAGTAATTAATCTCCGCACATTTTTCTGCATCATGTGACCCATAACTGGAGGAATTTTTCAGTTACATTTATGCAGCTGCCATGAGATTTCATGATCAATCTAAAAGATTTTGATATGACAATACAAAGATTTCCCGTATAGCCTCAACAGGCTGTTGGGGCATGTGCTCTTAGCGAGCACCTATGAACAATGGCGGAGCCAGGATTTTTAGGTAGGGGGGGCAACCCCTCCAGCAATGAAAAATTATAGAGGACTTGTTGGTAAGTAAGGACATGTTAGTGAGTAAGTAAGGAGTTGTTAGTTAGTAAGGACTTGTCCCTTGCTTTTTATTCGACGCGTGTGCGGCGATGGCGCAGCCATCGATCGAGGGTCAAATTCGAGCCGCGTTGTGTGATCGGCATCGCGCTCGCTGAAGGTGTTGATGCCTTCAGAGAAGTCGTGTCGTGTGTACGCAACTGCGCACAATTCTGAGTTACTTATAACTGCTTTGCCGTTACTTATTGCCAATTATGGACTCAGACTATCGTCCTATCATCTCATAGAGTGCCTGGCACGTAATAATATGTTACACAGTGTCAGTGGGGGTCGCAAAATGCCGATTTATTACTAATAAACCCAAATAATCCGATCGAAATCCCTAATAGCTCAGATAATCGTCACTAATTTCGATCGGATGGGGGGGCACGTGCCACCCCACCCCCACTGGTTCTGCCAGTGCCTATAAAGGGCGGTATGGCACGCAAGGGGGTGGGTGGCCAGCACCACGCCTAGCCGCCTTTGTCTCCCTAGTAGCGATGTTTATACATCGCTCCGGGTACTCATTAGAGGCTGAGTTAACCTAGGGGAGGCCCAGGACCGGTTCACACACATGCGCATGCACACTGTGAGCTCATGCAACTCTTGGATAGCTTCTTTGTGCACACTCAGGGTATTTTATCTGCTCCTTTCATCAAGTAACATTCACTTTATTTAAAACGCCGTGTAACACTGCAGATGTAGCATGTATTGCAATCTCATTTCTTTGTGAATTGTGCAATTGCACAAGTATGCAAGCTCATAGAATTGCTTTCAAGATTCAAAAACTAAAAATGTACAAATGATTAGGCTTTCTTTCCATTGATATGAAGTATAACTCGAACATTTATTTTTTCTTACTTAGTTCATTTTCAACATATGTCGATTATGCTTTTCCTTTGGCACTGATTAGTCCATAAAATTCAGATTCTGACATTTAAACGTATAATTTTATTAAGCTCTGCCATGAAATAATTTGACATTTTTTTGCACAGTATTTGTTTTATACCTCATTGGGAATTTTGATCTTAGATCTATTACACTGTATATATGTATATGTCATTTTAAGGTCATTGCATTTAACACATTAAATGGCACCGCAAAATGGCTACAATGTTGTATTGGTAACGGTATGGGAATTAACCTTTTAGGCACCTCATTAATATTTCTGTTTGGCCGGCGATTCCGGGTCTGACAACATAAAGATACTTTTTTTTATCTTCAACTTCACCTTTAAAAAAAAAAATCCCCATTCTAATCTATTTCACATCTGTGTTACGTGTTACTGTTTGGCCAGCAGACCATCTTTTTTTTTACACCGGTAGCCTTGACGGCTGCAAGCCAGACTCCCAGTCCAAATGGGTGCAGAGTCAGCGGAAATTCGGAGCTGGGCAGGAGACACACATATTTCTCCCGTCACCAACAGCAGAAATAAACAGCCATGCTGAGCACGGAAAGGAGGGGGCCTCACTAAAATCATAACTCACTGAGGTTTTGTACGCACTGCCAATTTGGTGATGTTATTTGAATGAGGATCCCATTGGGCCCGGTCGTGTTAATAGTGCACCTTTAGTAAATGTACGGTCCACGTGTCAAACCAATGCCGGATGAGGGCCTTCCCATGCCGTGCTGGTCGTGGGGGTTATTGGGCCACACTTAACCTCCTTGCTCAGTAGGGGGTTGGTAAAGTTGGGGAGCACAGAGGTGGGTGCATATAGGTACAGTACAACAATGGATTCTGCTGCACTGCCCTCTGCTGTCCACCAGCCGATAAAACATATCATGCATGGTGGTCGCCCATCCACACTCTCCGGCCTCCTCTCTGCTTGAGTATTAATAAATGGGTATGTCTGCAATAAAACATATATACAACGGACAGTAACTATTTACGCGTAACAGCTCAAGTCTCTTTTTCAAGAGAATCCTGCGTGGCACTTTTGGCTAATCGAGTCATTTGTACCTAGAGAACACCCACACACTAGGGAAAAACACTCAAATCATCCACACAGATAGGTCAGCAACTTATTTTATATGCAGTACTGCCTTGTAGAGACTACCGCCATAAGCCCTTAGATCTGTGCACGATCCACCAGCCCTGCCTCCAAAGCGTTGAATTGCATCCACGTGTAAGGCCACCAAATTTCTGGGAAGCTCAACACGAGGGGATGGGTGGCCAACACCAAGCCTGGCAGCCTTTGTCTTCCTAGTGGCGATATTTACACAGGTACTAATTTTACGCTGAGTTGACCTAGGGGAGGCCCAGACCTAGCTCAGATAATCGTCGCTGGAGTTGGCTGCGAGCCGGAATCGAAGCTCGGGTCCCGCCGGGTTTGTCGCGCAGCGTGCTAACTGCTGCGCCACCGCTCCCCTAGCCATGCACCAACTACCTTGGCCACGATAATTGTTTTTTTTACCCTTCTATCTGGCAACAAAACTGACACATTTTTTACAAGGAGTCATGTTTGCATAGACCACAATACCTGCAGCCATAATGCAAACAAAAAACATAACTCTGATAATAGATGCACTGTCCTTGAAGTTGATTGGTCCACACCCGAGACAGCTTTCCTTAGAGCCTAGTCTCACATAGGTTGGACCAGATGACGCCAAAAGGTGCACAACTCAAAGACAATGCACCATCAGAGTATGAGAGCTTGGCGTAAGCATTTACACCATTGGAACCTCATTTGCCACCTCAAAGTCAGCAGCGCAGGGCAGCGCGTGAGGCTGCCCTCCCCTCAGGGTCGAGACCCGCTTTCCTTGCAGTCGGGTTGATTAATTTCACCTTTCCGTCCTTAACGCAATTACGCACTGCGCCGTTTGGCCATCCTCTTTTAATGGCAGTTTACGTACTTTCCGAGACATAACTCATTCACCATCTCCTGCCCAGCTGGCAATCCCGCAAATAGGAAACCCAACAATAACATGGCATCACATGCCTTCTGCAGACGGCAGCGGCCTGTTCTTCGCGACTTTGCCAAGGCATGATCTCAAGTCCCCATTTTAAAATACCCTGCTTTTGTTTATACAGTACACAAATTGCAAATACTTTTCGCTGCCATGAGCAACATATGACACATTTTTTAAATGGAACAGTGTGTAATAAGCTTCCCTCATGGCGTTTTCGTCTGTATCTTCTGAAGTTGTTTTAATTGTCCTTACTAGTGCTTCTACTCCACTGCCAATGCAATCCCTGACATCTTACAAAGGATATATATTACAACAGTCTTACACACACATTGTATAATACAATAGTTGCTATTTCAGCAGGTAATCGACCATGACAAAAATCTGAGAAGAGGATGGGCCCAGGCAGTGGAGTTTGTTTTGCTGAAAAATGGAGAGGCGATGTGGCGAGATGTTAACTACCTCGCCTGGTATACAGGAGGTCGTGGGTTCGATCCCAACTCTAACGCCTGTATTTTGGAGTTCCCACGTTATCCCCGTGGTCGCGTGCTTGATCCCATCACGTTTAGAAACATGCGTTTCTAAACGTGCTCTTAAGTGTCCACATCATAAGCCACTTCTTTGAGCTATAATTTGCGGCCAGGTAGCTTTTGAAAAAAAACAAGCTATATACCCCAGTGGGCCTTACCTGGAAAAAAAAAATTTGTTTCGTTTAGTTCAGTCTTGAGGTCTCGCACTGCTCCGCTCAATTTAACCATCTTGCCCTGAACCCCCGGCCGCCCTCCACCCCAGGAGACGTGGTACTTCCAGGGCGACAGCGGCGTGGAGGAGGTGCTCATGAGCGGCGTGCAGTGCTCGGGAACCTGAGATGTCGTTGGCTCACTGCCGCCACCACGGCAGCCGCGTCAAATGCAAGAGAGGTGGCGGCCGCTACGCCGCCGGCGTCGTCTGCACCGAGAGTACGCCGCACAACAGCTACCGCCTCGTACCGCCGACTCTTTAAATCGCGAGCGGCGTTCGTTCAGTCGGCAACTCTAAGCGAGGTGGAAAGCGTTCATGCGCCAGGCAGGGCCCGATGAGCAGGCCACTCACCCCTAGCGGGTGTGGTGTGGATAGTGGCTGATTTGGGCATGGCTATTTCAAAAGCTACAAATAAACTCCTTAAAAATATATATTTTTTAAACAAAGGTTTTATTTTAAAGTGCACTCCAAAGTGCAAAATAAAACATTTCAGCCTGTCACCAGCTGATCAGAATATTTTTGGACATTTGTAACAAAAACATTAAACCGTGGGGGCCACTTCCGAAACGTTGCCTATGCAGTGTTATTGACGAATGTGTTGAGTTTTGTTGTTATGTTTTTGCTTGTGCACCGCTGCCAACGCAGCATCACCATATTTGTTAAATACTGTAAAGGTAGAGAGGATTGAGGGAGGGAGGAGGTGCAACATCACCTTGCATCCCGGGCGGTTGAGCCTCCCAGTATTAATATTTCGATTTACAGTTCACCCAGAAAAACCTCGCTGAGTCTTACGACTCCAGTCATTCGGTAACCTTACACAATCAGAAAGAGGACTCGAGAAAAATAAGACACAACTGAACGTCTGCCGCTCACTCCAGCCACCCCAAATTGGACACACACAGACACATGAAGCGCCGGGGTCGGGGGGCGAGACGTGGTCCAACTGTGGACCAACAGCGCAGATCTCCCCGTGACCACTAGCACCGCGCGGCTTTCCCGGCAGGTGCCCCGGACCTGGTGCTGAACGCGCGCATCGTGCAGGAGTCGGCCTACCTGGAGGACCGCCCGCTGCACCTGCTGTACTGCGCCGCCGAGGAGAACTGCCTGTCGGCGAGTGCCTCTGCCATGAACTGGCCGTACGGCTCGCGGCGCCTCCTGCGCTTCTCCTCGCAGATCCACAACGTCGGACGCACCGACTTCAGGCCCAAGGCCGGCAGCCACGCGTGGGTCTGGCATCAGTGTCACAGGTACGAGAGATGGCACGGCCCCCGGTCGAGAGGGAGGGCAGGGGCATTTCAAGATGCGGTCTTCTCCCACTCGTTTTACGTCATTTCGCTAATACGTCGCACCTCCGATTCGCACAGTTGGCTACGTAGAGGGCAAGAGAAGTTGGGCATTGCTACGTGTATACTTTATGTAATACCACTGACCTGATTTGCGTCGCCTCAACCCCACACTTACGTCACTGACAGCATCATCTGTCCTTTCTCGTATCCATCGCCTCTCAGCCTTCACCTCCACCTAGCCTGGAAATTGCTTTGATTGACGTCGTTTCGATATTCGTCGTCGCACCGTTTTGGAACGCATCCCTGACGTAAGCCGAGGTATTACTGTAAAAAAGCTTTCACACGAGATCCGAGCTCTTGCAATACAACCTAGCAGCTTGTTGGGCCTTTTCTGCTGAAATAAATCAAATATAATCTAGCTATCTTGATGATGCTGGATGTAATCCCAAGCGAAACGGCATGTATAAAAGTGTAAAAATGTTGCTTGCCTTTCAACATTCCGGTTTTGATAATAAACCAAAATCTATTTGCATATCTGTCCACGTTACAACTAGATTTGATAGGCTGTGTCGGGGTGGTGGAGAGTTATCGTAAAAAAATGGCATTATACCACCACGATTTAACCCAAGAGAAAACAATTACACTGTGTAACAATTTTTTGTTACAATTACACTGTGTAACAATTTTTTGTTCCTGGGTAGTAAGTGTTATTTCCTAATTGCTTATGCCTCAAAAGTACAGAAAATGGCTATTATTCCCCACAAACTTTGCTTTTGTGACCAGGACAGTAATATTTTGAAATTTACCTATTTTCCATAACATTCCAGATAGCTTCTGTGCTGAGTAAACTTGGAGTAACTTCTAGAACATTCTAGAACTTTCCAAGTATCCGGCAGATGCATTTTGCAATGTCTACGGCCAATGTATCAAGACAAGAGCGAAAAAGTACTCCGTGGAAGCATCTACTAAGATATGTGATCATTATCAATCATATTAGTCACGAAAGCCTTACGTATAAAATTCACAATCTCATTTACCTATGAGCTGATTGCCTATTTCAATAATGCTAAATACATAATATAGTTTTGATTTAAAGCTTTCGTGACTGCAGGGATTCATATTCTTGTTTCTTTCGGTAAAGTCACGTAGAAGGGAAATAATAAAATAAAAAATATATAAAACAAAAAGAACTAAGAATATATAATATAGGTTTTTTTTTTGGATTGGCATGTTCTGTTTACGTGACAAACCATACTAATCGGCTGTGTCGGATGGTGGCAGGTTTATCCTCCGTGTTATATAATGCTAAAGTCAAATAGTTCAAATGTCTTAAAACTTTGTTGGCAGTGGTGCAGATCATAATAATCACGCCTCACTACATTTCACAACTGATGACAAAAGGCCGCCTCTCTGTATCTTTATAGCTAATGCCGATATATGCAGTACAGTATATTAAGAATATACATTGCAGCGATATATGATGGGAAGCGATGAGGCAACTGATGTCCTGAGAAATAACCCCCCTGAAATGTAATGTAGATTCTGCAGCTGGTTTTGTGCGCGACTTCCTTTTAGTCCCACAGAATGTGCGTGGCTAGTCCGTTTTAAAAAAGCAGCACCTTCGACAGGCACGCAACACGGCAGATTGATGACGGGAATTGCCCAGAGTGCGCGTATGAGCAAACCGATGAGTCACAATTCCCCAAAGCAACTCCGTCTACTAACTCACAGAGGCACATGTCTGAGGTTCTCAAACAGAGGCCACGGAAAGGTCACCGTTGGACATTTTCATGGCACCATCGTGGGGTGGCTAGTTGCTTCGGACGCGCGTGATCAACCCGTGACTTCTCTCTGCACAGTTTGTTGATGCTACAAGCGAGCCCTAATGCGGGCATCCTGATTAATTTGCATGACTTAGCAAGCAGTGGACGTCTACCGATCTGTTTCGATGTGCGTATCGTATTGGTTAATGTTGCACACGTAAAAATATGCTTTATAGTGTGCCTCCATATGCACGAAACACAGTTGTATAGCCCCTAACTACCACGCTCATGAGCAGTTGTTTTACATATTAAGTTGAAATATGTACATGTCTACATCCGATTAGCACGGTTGACTACGTACAGTGCGAAATAAGTTCAACACGCAGTAAGTACATTAATAGTAAAGGTATACACATGAGTACAACTCGTTGTAATGATGGTGATGTCACCACAGTGCCTTCGCCAGGACGAGTTTGCTCCGAAGGCTCTTGGCAGTTGCAAAAGCTCTCCGCTAAGGCCACCGGTCAAATCCACACATTGTTGATTTGAACAGACTTGCTTTACCGTCACACCAATCCACTGGATACTTTCCCTGCCACCACGTGTAAAGGATTTTAATATGACTGAATATCATTCCTGTTTTGCTTTTTCACCTTGTAGGACGTATCAGCAGAGTCAGGCTTATTAAAGAAAGTCCTGTTCGGTGCCAGATGTTATTGGCATGAGCACTCCACATAAGAGATATGTAGAGGGCCCCTTTTCAGCACAAAACAGCTGTACTATATAAGATCGGACTATGCAATTCAGTAAATGATCATGGGGAAATGAATAATCCGGCCTCTGTTAGTCGTTCCACGTCCAAATAAAATATCCCGTAGTGTTTATTTAAGCAAGTCAATGTTAGTCTGGAAGGCCTATCAGCTGATAGACTAAAGAGTATTGTATTTTCATGTACAAAGTTGGATATCTATTTTATTACCCATAATCCTCCACTGCAGCACACGATGAGTGTTTATACATTACGTTGTTGTTTATTAATTTAGTGATAACAGCTTTACAATTTAGCAAGCAATGAAAATGCTAAACACTGCATTCTGTTGTCTTGAAAAACTCAAAAAGCCTAGCCAAAGTCAACTTGAATATCATTCATACACTGTTAGAACCAGTCTTAAGTTCTCAGAATTTTTTTGTCGTCTGGTCCACTATCGCAGTAAAACATTTGTTAACGATTAGTTATTAAATGTTTGTGTGAGAGGTTCCAATTTTTCTTCAGAAAATATCTGGTCAGCCAATCAGCGAACACTGTACAAATGTTTTATTTACATTTACATAAATATCCAATTACCATTTTTGGCCTTCCTCAGTGCACTGTATTGTTTGATAACGTTACTCAATTAAATTTCGATTTAAAGCTTTCGTGACTGCAGGGATTCATCTTCTTGGTTCTTGCAGTAAAGTCACGTAGAAGGGAAATAATAAAATAATGAAAATTAAACATGATTAAATACTCAATTACCTTAGTCTGCATCTTCATTTAGGATAATTAATTTGATTTCATCATAGTCATGCTCAGGTACGTGTTGTGTAGTTGCAGTCATTGCCACGCTTGAAGATTTTAGTCCACTCATATTTATTGTTGACTAATATTTTTAAAAAATCTTACTTGATGAATATGACAAACCACGGGAAGGGGAGTAGAGTCAAGGATATAATGCACGTAGCAAGAAAAAGGAATGGGAAAGGGAAGATATGGCGGGATAGAAGTTCCCAAGCCAGACAAAGAGGAGAGCACAGCTCAAGATGAGCAGCAGGAATAAATAAATACATCGTAATTTTTAAAAACATAGAAGGAAAGCCGGACAGGAAATGGGGGAAGAGGAGAAGGAACGACCGGGAGGTGTTGGGGATGAGGGAAATTGAGAGGGAAGGAAAGATCAGGAGCAACAAGAGTGAGCTGCACGGAGGAGCGGCAGCGTGTGTTTTCATAGGGGGCTGGGAAAGGGGAGGGATTCAGAGTGACCACACAGAAGTCACGTGGTGGTTTACGGGAAGTTTGAGCTGATTTCGACGTGTCGATGTTTGTCACTGCAGTCGTCTCGTGAGCACATTGAACTGCGGTTACAACTGGCGAGATCCCATTTTGTTCACCGATGCAGGAGATGGGACTGTGCTCTGCTCACTTGTACCACCGCAGGCATTACCACAGTATGGAGGTGTTCACCCACTACGACTTGCTCACGCTCAACGGCACGAAGGTGGCGGAGGGACACAAAGCCAGCTTCTGCCTGGAGGACACGTCGTGCGAGCCAGGTTCGTGACGGCAACTCGCTGCGCCGACGCAAACTCATCGCCAACATTTGCGTTGCTGTGAATGAATTCAAGAGCGCACACTAAGAAGCAACGTGGGGGAGAAGCTTGAGTCATTAATGTTAGAACACATTCCTGCGGAGGGAGCTGGTAGGAACGTTGGGTTGCTCGGTCAATGGCCAGGGTCAACGGCGGCGTGGTGTATTCCGCAAATATGCCCGACTGTGAGGGCGGGCACAAGCCGGCGTGAGTAGGTTAAACGTTGAGTTTTATAAGGGCACCACGGGGTGACCAGCCCCTCTCCACCCAGCCCCACCTCTCCCACCCCCCCACCCAGCCCCTCCCCACCCTCCCCACCCAGCCCCTCCCCACCCAGCCCCTCCCCACCCTCCCCTCTCCACCCACCTCACCCCTCCAATTTTTGGATGCACGACGGACGGACACAATAATCCCCTGTGGGCTGGTGGAACCACTGGGTTCCTACCAGTATAATGTTTTTTTAGACTTTCTATGAACGTGGGTTCACATGCTAACCTTCTTCTTCCTAGCGTTGTTCCCGCTGTGGCGCAGGGTCCGCTTTTCGGCATTGTCTTCTCCATTTGGCTCGGTCCAGGGCATCTTCAGGGGATGCGTTGACCGTCTTCATGTCTTCCTTTATTCGGTCCATCCATCGCTTCTTCGGACGTCCGCGTGGACGGCGGCCCTCTGGCTCAATACGCACGGCAGTCTTGGCCACTGATGACTCTTCACTGATGGACTAAAGAGTTCACATGCTAACCATCATAATATAAAAAAAATACGACAAACGGTTTCGAGTTGAATTCGTGTCAGAGTTTCCATTGGCATCTTTTAGTTTTTACTCATCAATGCTGCATTGAGTCTGGAGTTTTGTTTTCATTTGATTAAAATTCATGTCATTCTGATTTTCACCCTCAAGTATATATAAATACATTCAACTCTTTTTTTTCAGGGGGAAACTGGATAAGGATGTTTGGCCATATATTTTTCTCTTTAGAACTTGTCTGTGTCAAATAATGTTAATATTTGCATATTTATTTTTTAAAAACTACAAAACTTGCGTAGGTTCATTATATAACTTTTTTATATTTTGCCTGAAAAAATAAGGGCAACAGTTTTTTTACTTTCCTTCACTGTTTAATATTTTTGACACGCATACATTATTTTTTGTGTGCTGAAACTAATGGAATAATTGTTGTATATTTGCCCAAAATTTGTAGATATATAATTCCCAGTCCAAACTCAACTCGCTAATCTGTTTATCCGCTGTGCCCTCTGCTGGCTAAACTCTGTACGCGAGGCAGGGCCTGCGTAATGTTGGATACCCATTTACAATGTGTATTCCGCAAACTGGCATAACAAAAATAAATCTGGACACAAACTGTTAGTTTTAGTCAACTAATTAAACACGAAAACCGAGGATGCTTGTTCTCTGGCTAAGTGGCCCCAAGAGGACTTTCTTGCAAGAGACTGCAATGTCCGTTTCATTGAGGTAAAAAAGTGTTAAGGGCTTTACACGAACAGTTAACTACCAGTGGCCACGGTGGCGAGATGTTAACCGTCTCGCCTGGTATGCAGGAGGTCCTGGGTTCGATCCCTGACCCTGACGGCTGTATTTTTAAAGTTTGCATGTTCTCCTCGTTGCTGTGTAGATTTTTATCTGGGTCCTCCAGTGTTCACATTTAAAAACATGCGTTTAGAATATAATTTTTCTGCTATAAATTTCCACGTGATAAGCCACTTATCTGAGCTCTCATTTGTGGCCAAGTCGCTTCTGAAAAAAAAGTTATATAGCTCAGTGGGCCTTAGCTGATAAAATAAAATAAAAAAATGTTTCGTTTATAATTTGAATTGTGGCTCCGTGCAGGTGTGCAGAAGCGCTACGAGTGTGCGAACTTTGGAGACCAGGGAATTGCAGTCGGCTGCCAAGACATCTACCGCCATGACATCGACTGCCAGTGGGTCGACGTGACGGATGTGGCACCCGGAGACTACATCTTCCAGGTCAGTGTCGCTGCCACGTAATGAACCAACAACACAAACTGAACATTTATCATGATAATAATAATAATATGTACAGTAAAACCTTGGATTGCGAGTAACTTGGTCTGCGAGTGTTTTGCAAGACGAGCAATTTTTTAAAATAAATATGAATTTGATAAACGAGCGAGGTCTTGCAATACGAGTAGTACGTGCATACGCTTTGTCTGCCGAGCGTCACGTGATCACAACTGATATACGAGTGCTTTGGATTACAAACACGTTTCCAGAACGAATTATGCTCGCAATCCAAGGATTTACTGCATTTGCATGAGACTCACCCAGAATACTGCCCCACCAAACTTTTGAGCCACCGGCAGACGTCTCTTGCTTTGTTTTCAACAATTCACGAACCTGCAGTTTGGAGTCCCACGTGATAAAATATACATGATGCACTAATTCCATCTCCAAAGCACCTGAATCTTTGTTAATTTATTGTTAGTCTCATTCAAAGAACTGGCCATATTTGTCCAGATTTGATTTTATGACAATACAAAGCAAAGCATCAGCTGTATAATGTATTAAATACAGTCTAGCATGTGTGTCATAAAATAATGAAATTGTTTCGTTAGATTCTGGGAGAAAACATCATATTGTGTGATAATGATATTGAATTGATACATTATAACCAAATAATATTTGACATTAAATATATATTAATTTATTCCATTACATTAATTGTGGGGAAGTACTGTACGGTCAATTATCCACATGATTCATACTGCATGGGGAGCGCTCATCCAGCAGTGGATTGGCAAAAGGGCTGTACGTGTAGATTCCACTATAATACAAATCACAGTAACTATATAGCAAGGTTGATATTTCACATTCCAGGCACTATTTAAGTGTTTTATTATAAACGTATTAAAATTGTCCAAAAAGCTTTTTAGCGAAAACAGGAGGCAAAGATGCTCATGAAATAATGTAAACATTGCATTTCAATAAGCATCTGGTTCCTTTGTCGGTGTACCTGTGCATGACTTAAACCTGAACTATGTTTAATAGAAATTTAAGGAGTATGAGTCAATGGAATTAACATTCAAACTGAGCTCACACAGCATCCTGTTCCCCTTACCTATGATCAAAATATAGCCATTCGATCATTATAATTGGTTCAAAGTAGCAATAATAATTGAGTGCGATCAAAAATGTGTTTTGTTCACAAACGAAAAATTAGCTCCTTTGGGGATGACAAGTGGCATTAATAATTCGGTGAAGTAAAGGCGCTCTGCTTTGTACACAATTCCAGGTTGTCATAAACCCCAACTACGAGGTCTCGGAAACTGACTTCACCAACAACGCCATGAAGTGCAACTGCAAATACGACGGACACCGCGTGTGGATGTACAACTGTCACAATGGTACGACTTAAATTTCGATTTAAAGCTTTCGTGACTGCAGGGATTCATCTTCTAGGTTCTTTCGGTAAAGTCACGTAGAAGGGAAAAAATAAAATAATAAAAATAAAACATAATAAAATAATTCTCACGACGTTTCGGCCACAACGCAAGCAGCCGTCCTCAGGTGAAGAACAAGTCCTCAGGTGAAGAACAAGTCTGTTGTTCTTCACCTGAGGACGGCTGCTTGCGTTGTGGCCGAAACGTCGTGAGAATTATTTTATCATGTTTCATCACCTCTCTCATTCTTCGTCTTCTTGCGTGTAGCAACTCATAAATCCAGGTCTGACAGCTAAATGACAGCCTCTGGGGAAGCTGAATGGAAGTCTTCAATGCCTCCGCTGAATTTCCTAGGTTCCCATGTCATTGAAAGGAACTGACTGACCTCTCACTCAGTTAAAGGTTGGCCAAAAACAGGCTTTAGTTGACCCTGCGTACACTTCACGAGTATTGTCATCAGACTTGATGAGAATTGTGTATGGAAATCTATCAATCATTCAATTAGCCGTTGGCCAATGCGTGCAAAAACATATCAGTGTAGGTTAAAAAAACGTCGGTTAATGTGCATAAACATGCGTTTAGAGTATTTGGCTGCTATACATGTGCACGTGATAAGCCACTTCGTTGAGCTATCATTTATGGCCAAGTCGCTTCTGGAAAAAAAAGCTGAATAGCTCAGTGGGCCTAACCTACTAACATAAAAATAGTTACAAATAATTAAAAAAAATTCCTAGAGACACTATTAAGAATCGGTCAAAGTTTATAATCTAGTTATAATTTTCAGGAAATATACTGTACCCATAAACGATTCCACAAGAACAACATTTTTGCGGAATCTTACCATTTTTTTCCGGACTGCTTTTGTGTGCCTCCAGGCGATGCCTTCAGTGCGGAAGTGGAGAAGCTGTTTGACCTGTATCCGGGAGAAAACAACCTCATCTCATAACGCCACTCCACCACCGTCAACAGATTCGTGGTCTTTAAGCCACGCAACAATCCCCCCCCCCCCCTAACTCAGAGCCTTCACATCATTGTCCCATGTACGGACGTACTTTTCAAATGAAGGCTCTTCTTTACCCTCTGGTGACATGTCTTAACACTACGGTGCCCGCACGTCAGTTCAAGTTTATCCATAGTTTATGCCACCAGCTTCGAGCTGGCACTTTCCATTAGGACTGCATATGGAGGTGGCAGGAAGGGGAGAGAAGAGACACATTTGAATGTTGTTTCCTTACAACATGGTGGCACCAAGGTTACTGCAATAACGGCAGAGCTTTTTTTTTTATTTCACTACGTTGTTATAAAACGTACTTTGGCATATGCTGCTCGAAAATAAAGTAAATTAAATCTAATGCTGCATTCCATTGAATCAAAGACATGCAGCTGGGATACCTCTGCTGATAGACTCGGAGAGCACGGGGAAGGACAAAGGGGCCTTGGTTTACTTTCCATCACCAGTTTGGATTGTTGTTTCCTATTTAGACATCATATGACGACCGCTCTATTTTAAATCGGGCCAGCGATCATGGTAATTGCTGTGTATAGTTTAATGTATGCAGGTAGTACTTGAGGAAATCTCGCCACGGTGGTGAGATGTCAACGACCTCGCCTGGTATACAGCAGGTCGCGGGTTCGATCCCGACCCTGACGACTGTCGTATATTTGGAGCTTGCATATTCTCTCCCCGTGTTTGCGTGGATTTTTCTCCGTCTCCGCTGGTTTTCCCCTCCACATTTAGAAACGTGTTTATAGTATTTGGCTGCTATAAATTTCCACGTGATAAGCCACTTGGTTGAGCTACGATTGTAGCCAGGTCGCTTTTGAAAAAAATAACTATATAGCTAAGTGGGCCTTACCTGGTAAAATAAAAATAGTGTTTAATTAATATATACAGTATTCAAAGTTATCTTCGCTGTGCAACATCTAAAAAAGGTTAATACAATCAAATCACAGCATCAGAACCAATAAAAATACACAGAAGCACTTAATAAAAAAAGCTCCATAAACTCTAACTTTTCATAACTTAGAGATTAGATTTAAAAGCAATCTCTACAGACAAATCATCTCGGATAGTATTTTTCATCTGGGGTATTCAACACCCACTGACCAGCGTGGTGAAGTATGGTCAAACAATACCCAACGGTACGGGGAGGCCTTCATCCAGCAGGCAAAAGGCTGCCAATTATTCTGGGAAGAAAGGAAACCAAATTTGACATTCGTCTTGGCTGCACAAAGTTTCACAGGGCACTTTATGATATTGATTTTGATAATAATAATAGTTCAATTTATAACGCGCGCAAATTTGCAGACGTAGTGGCCGCAACTCAGAGGCGCGGAGCCAAGCTCAGAGTCGCTCAAAAGCATGATTGTAGAGGTGAGTTTTTAAGTGTCTCTTGATTGGTTGCACTCCAGTCTCATTGAAGGTGCTCTTGATGGCTGCTGTTGTGCTTCTCTGCATTTGTATAGGCCCTGATCGTCCTCCCTTCACATGCCCGAACTACATACTTAGCGTGCCTCCATACAGTAGGCTGCGGTTAATTCCATCACTTCCTTACCCTTCTCTTTTGACTCTTAGATGTATACAGCAAAGAAAAAAAAACCTTCCAAACCTCTTATTCTCTCATATTGTACGCATTTATATCTGTCTTTTCTTACAAGTTTAGCAATCTGGTGCTATGAGCTCCTCAGTTTTACGAGGAATGCTTTGCCATAAGTAACGTTACTGTATTGATATTATTTACAGTTTACTTGAAGTTAAGGTTAACAATGGTATGATTGTGGGCACGTTATTTTGGTGCGTTTAAATAAAAAAAAGATCTTTATTTTGCTGTGGTGATTGAATATGCCACTTAAATGCCTCACAACTTCATGAAAACAAATGTCATGAATTAAAATGTCATTGTTTTCATAATTGTTTCCTGGATTTTATGCAATCTGTCGTTTCATTTATAAATCAGGAAATATATTAAACCTTTGCTCATAAGGAAGTCATGAAATACTTAAACCATTATCATTGTTGTTGAGGGACTTCAGTGTCCAATATAAGTATTTAATACATGTGTAACTAAATTAAGAATAAAATGTATACACTATATGCGTATACAAGTCTTGAGAGCAGTAAAGCTTTACCCAACTCTGTTCTATTTACAGGTTACAGCTACGAAGTAAAAAAAAAATACAAGTTGGGGTATACCAGCATTTCATTAATAAAAACTAGATATTTCAGCTATAATTAGGAGATTGTAAAAAGGTAAAGGCACAGTCCTGCAATATCTCGCTCACGCCACTGCTGGCAGAAGGGCCTCCACTAGAGGGAGCTCAAGAGAGCCTCTCCCGAGGGAATTTGGCCTACTCTTCCACACGAGCCAGATGTCTTGCAAGAGGTGGGAGTACCCACTCTTTCCCTCGTCATCCACAACATGCCAATCGACGCACTGTGGCGTGCCCTAGTATAGACTGCTGGGTTGACAGAGGCGTGGGATTTTAAGAAACGTGTCAATTGTTGCAACTGCCGCACCGGGAGATAGCATCGAACAGGCGATGTCTGAAGTTCAAGTCTAGAGCGCAGCATCCTGGAATGTGGGGAATTTGCCTATGACCAAATCACCCAGAATACCGCCAATCCCATCAGATCTCAGCAGGGCCTAACCTGGATAGTGCTTTGTTGGGTGATCACAACGCACAAACAGGTTGGCATTGGACTGTGGGGCTACATTGTGGATCACAGGAACCAATGCAACAAAAGCCAGTTGTACTACAGTACATCTACACTCCCACCTCTCTGTTACCCACATTGACCGACTCGCACCGACTGACCAGCTCGGTGAAGCGTGGGAGGCCCTCATCCAGCAGTGGATTGACACGTACAAGGATATTGTGTTATCATCAGCATTATATTTCTCCATGGTCGCTACAGCTTGGCACAGGACCAAGACACAATAAGGGACGAGAAGGACAGTTATGTATAGAGCTCCATTTCCTATTGGGCCCAAAGGATAGCTCTCTGATGTGTTTTTGGCTTGTAGCCTCTGGTTGCCGTTGTCACTTTTTCCACAGAGTAAACCTGGACATATTTCTCCATCAAAATTGTGCAGTAAATCGTAATAAAGTTGAACACAATACCACCAGATCTCAGCACAAATCAATTCTTGCCACCCAAGCACAGATGCCAATTCTTGAACTGTCCGGGTCAAACCCGGTCAAACCCAGACAGGTGGCCACCCTAGTTGTACCACGTGTTGCTTGGCATGATGTCCGACGTTATGCTCCACCTTGCTTCATTCGGAACTCAATGGCTCCCAGCACATGGAGCGAAACTTCAGACATAATGCCTCAGTCGCAGTCCAACCCTAAAACACATCGGAGTGCAATGTCGCATAAACGCGAAAACCTACGCACGTAGTAAGATCCGAAGGATCAACCAGATTCTGGAGAAATGAAAATTTGCATTTTCGAAGCTTGGGTGGAGGAGGATGACACTGAGGTTCGGATTGAGCCATGTGAATCAGAGTTGTAGATCAATGATCGTGGAGCTGTGCGCGATATGAAATACAGTGCTGTATATTGAACATGTGAAATGTACACAATGTATGTGTCTTTGTGTATCGAGACCAAAAGTGGGCAAGTATACAATGTGGGAGTAGTCTGCATGTGTTCGTTTGTATATTGTGTGCGTATGTATATTATGTACTTCTAGATTTGAAGCTTTCGTGACTGCAAGGAATCATATTCTTAGGTTTTTTTCGGTAAAGTCACGTAGGTGAAACATTTAAATTCAAAATCATAAAAGTATAATAAAAAGAAACGTCGTGATTTTTATTTTATTTTTATTTTACTTTTATTAATTTTAATTTTTCACCTACGTGACTTTACCGAAAAAAACCTAAGAATATTATGTACTTGTTTATATATCTGACGCCCCCCATAGCGAGAAACTCTCTTCCCCCGGCCATGCGTACCATCGACTCGCTATCCCTGAAGTCCAGGCTCAAGACCTTGATCATTTTCCTCTGCTTGTGACGGACTTGCTTTACTATACATAATAAATGACTCCTTTCCCCTGGTTGTCCATGTCCGATTGTTCTGTGCATCGTCATGAAATGTAATGGCATTTTGACGCTATACGAGTCAAAATTGTATTGTAAGTACGTCAATGTATTGGCTGAACGTTGACACCCTAACTACCCTCCATGTGGAAGTGAGCCTGTCGGCAGTAGGACACCGGCACTACCATCAGCAGGCTAAAGGGAGGGATTATGGTGGCTATACAAAGTGAGTGGAGCTTTCGCACCGACAAAGTCTTTCAATGAGAGTGAATCCTTCATATCCCAAGCCCCGCCACAACAGGCAAAAAGTGGACAGCGCCTCATTTGTCAGTGCAAAGCCGACAGAAAACTGGCAGAGTAAACTTCAGAGCAGACTGGACCGGAGCAAACATCAAACGCACAGACACTGGCGATCCCGCAGTACAGCTACAATACCACAAGCTGCCGCTACGCTTCTCACACGATTTTGTGGTTGTCCAGGACCATTCCAGCACTGACCCATAGTATGGGGCTGGTGGATCTCGCTGAGAACACATTCCTGCGGAGGGAGCTGGTAGGAACGTTGGGTTGCTCAGTCAATGGCCAGGGTCAACAGCGGCGTGGTGTATTCCGCAAATATGCCCGACTGTGAGGGCGGGCACAAGCCGGCGTGAGTAGGTTAAACGTTTCGTTTTATAAGGGCATCACGGGGTGACCAGCCCCTTCCCACCCAGCCCCACCCTCCCCACCCAGCCCCTCCCCACCCAGCCCCACCCAGCCCCACCCTCCCCACCCAGCCCCACCCTCCCCACCCAGCCCCTCCCTCCCCACCCAGCCCCTCCCTGCACGACGGACACAATAATCCCCTGTGGGCTGGTGTAACCAGGAGGTTCCTACCAGTAAAATGTGCTGTATTGCCTATGTAGGTACATAACGGCCTCACATTTGCAGTGTTGCGAGTGATCTGTGCAGGCCTCCCTACGCTCGGGGTTTGACCATACTTCACCACACCGACTTTTAGAAATTGGCCAATATGAAAACGTAGTCGGCATCATTATCCATTTCACTGGGGGCGGGTGCACATATGATGAATGGTCTCAGAGCTTTTATCTATTAAAAAAACAACAGATAATAGGAAGATTAGCGTTTACATTTTCATACTCACAAATTCACAATTGATGATGAAAATGCATGCTGCCAATGCAGTGACGACTCCTTCCCCCCCTCAGGTGATCATATATGATACAAAAATTTGTTTTAATGATCGTGATAATGATGCAAAGTATGAGGGCTGCAAGACAAAATGCGGGGGTGGGGGAGGAGTCATTAGACATTCTGCAGTGCATTCAGGGGCTACATTTGTGCCGCACATGCTCTGCGGAATGCAGGTGACAGGTTCACGTGTTCACTGGCACAACTGCCAGCTTGCAGTCGCCCACGCCGTGCAGGTGCCCATTGTGCGCATTGGCCTGCTGTGCGAGGTTTCCCCTGACTGGACGTGGTCACCTGCCGTGCGGGGTCGTTTGCTCTGCTCGTGGATGAGACTGGTCGTTGAAGCACAGCCAAAGAAGGGAACGCGCCGATAAATGAATAAACAGCGATGACTAAGAGGGAAAATGTTCATCTTCTTGGTTCGTTCGGTAAAGTCACGTAGAAGGGAAGTAATAAAATAATAAAAAATAAAACATAATAAAATTATTCTTACGACGTTTCGGCCACAACGCAAGCAGCCGTCCTCATGTGAAGACCAGGTCTGGCGGCGGAGACAGCGTCTGAATGAAACACCACCACGCTTGGAGCGTATATTTAAGCTGGGTTGGAAGGGGGGGAGGGCGCCTTGACAAAATAATTTGCATATCAAGAGGAATTTTGCATATTTATGGGAAATGCAGGTATGTGATTAGTACTACTTGTGAAATGCGTAGGTGGGCGGGGGGTTTTCAAAGTCATATTATGCCCGTGCATTATGCAGGATTACTACAAGGGAAAATGTTCCTTAATGTTTCACGAATGAGGATTGTGGCACCGCAGAACTTTGAGATGTCGATGGCGAAGGGAAAGTATCCAGCAGTGTATAGGCAATGGCTGCTGGTAAGGATGTTTCTTTTTTTCTGCCAACATTAACATTCTGCCAATACTGCCACAAGGTTAGCACATTACACTACACCACTTCACTCTTCCACATCATCCCAAACGTACTCACTGCAGGAGATAAATTCTGCCTGTTAGCCATGTATCCATCGTGAAGTAGTGACATAATGGTTATATCACCGTTTTATAAACCAGGCACCCGAGTCGGATTCCACCCCATGGCTAGCATCAATGTCGGCTGATATCTTAACCAGTTAATTACCACCCCTTCACCAGCCCACACTGATCATCCTGGTGAAAGTGTCCAAATAACCCACAAGACTGAAATGGTGTCGGAAGGTCTTCATGCAAAAGTACACTAATAAATGGCCTACAAGTTTTACATGTATCAAATAAAAAGTGTTATATTTACAAATAGAATGAAAGCTCTAATCCACACATATTCTTAAAAGCCAACAGGTATAAAAGTTACACTGTGGAAATTGTTCTGTATACATAACTGTGCATCCCATAGCCTTATCCTCCCCCCTCGATTGCCTAAGCGCTTACTTAAGTCTCCAGTGATGGCGGGGATATTTCTGACTAATGAGAACCGATCTCCTCGCTGCCGTCAATCAGACTTGTTTCAGGAAAGATTGGAGTCATAAAAATTGCTGTAATTCGTATTTCCAGAAACTTAAACATTTATTCACTCAACTTAAAAAAGAACACAACCTGTAACATGACACAAACAAATATGTTAAATTACTTAACCGTCACAAATTTGAGCGTGTAAAAATTAGGACCATCTGTGCACTTCTTCGGAAATTATCATAAATATACATTAACCCATTGGACCAAAGGCCCAATAATTGTTTTGTTTAAACAGTTCCCACTTTGGGACTGCATTGTGTGAAAATCAAAAGACATGCAAAAGTAAAAAAAAAACTTTTAACGAACATGATGCCATGCATTTAAAAGAGCATGTTTACTGTATATATCAAGATTTGAAAACTATGACTTGACCACACGGCAGCAAGGCATTTATAATGGTCATTTCCTTTTGACAATTCAAATGACTTCTCTTCCTAGAAAATAAGAAATTGTTTTACAAAAAAATAACAGCATTGCTTAAGCAGGCTCATTTACAGTTTACTATACAAACCTGTGCATGTGCAAACCCGGTGCCAAATAAATGCAAACAAAAGAACAAACATCTCTACTGATTGCACAAAGTTAAGTCATTCTGTTGAAGTCAGGCCAGCTACAAGTGTTCGTCTTTCTAGAAGTTTATATGTATGCATGTAGAACTTCTTTCGCGCCACACGTAGCCAACGGAGGTGCGGGAAAGTTTGTCATTCCAGATGCAGCAAAATTTGCAGGTTAGCAGAATCTGGGTCCGCTGCCACAAGTTCCTTTCAGCCTACACGGCTCAATAGAAGGTGCACCAGTTGCTGCCATCGCTAGGCATGAGACCTCCTGTGATGAGCAGGATCAGGTCCACAAACCACCAAATGCCAAGCCCGCCAAGAGTCAGCAGCTTGCCAACCGCCGTGCCCGTGTGGCCCAGGCAGAAGCGGTCCACCCCAAAGCAGCCCAGGAAAAACGAGTAAAGTAGCGTGGTGACAAAGTAGTGCCCATTGTACCTGCAGCAGACAAAGCAAAAACATGTTTACACATGCCAAAACGAGCAGAAATTTCAATGTTAGATTTGAACAACAATCCACATCTACTGCTCGTTTATTTTTTGTTTGTGTATCTTCAACATCAGTGTTGATGACCGCAAAGGAATGTTGCAGCTGCTCCAACATTCCCTGTCAAAGTTTGTTATATTCACAAATAGAATGAAAGCTCTTATCCACACATTTTCCCAATGGGCATTGAATGTACTCTGAATTCAATTATTTTTTATTCAAAACCATTGTGAAACTGTTCTACATCACCATGTTGCAAATTATATATCACAATTGTATTCTTTGCCTATATATTAAAACTTACATATTTTCCTTAATAGTAAGATGTTTATCAAATAAATATTCTCGCTCTTGCCTCTGATATTATCGGTCAACCCAGCAGAAGTTTAACGTAACCGACTCTGCTGCTAAGACTAGTTTTCCTGCTTAACAAAAATGCTGCTGAAAAATATCATCCTGGAAGGCCCATAAACTGATGATCAAAAACTAGTTTAAAAAACTGTACAATAGATGTATAGAATTTTCTCTGAAACTCATTGATACCGTCAATTGCTATCAATGGGACTTATTGGCAGTTCAAAAATATCGGAATTTCTTTATGATACAAGTAAAACACTTCAGCACACTTCCTGTATGCGGATGACATAAAAGCAATACACTGCACATTTGAAGTTGATATTATTGATGTGATACTTATCACTTACTTGATGCAGGGCACGTGTCCCCGAAGAAAAGTCCTTTTGCCAACGCACTCAATCTTAGGGAGAGCCGTGCAGACTACTTTAGTGTGATTCACATCCTTGTAAGCATGGCCCCCAAACTAGGAATGGGAGTGAAGAGGGATGCGAGGAAGTGGCACAAAGACGCATTATTCAACCCATCAAAACTGCCAATGGCTATCTTTACAACCAATAACTTTCTAATAAAACCATGTTGCAGAAAAGGTGACATATGTAATTTGAGGTTAATGTCCATTGCACTGTACAACACAATGCACATAGGACAGTATACCTGTCAACCCCTAATCAGTGCCTACCTTATTACAGACAATTAAGACTTTATTGGTCACCCCGTTCCCTTATAAATCTCAACGTTCATCCTACAAAGTCCCATCACAAGGGAGGAACAGAAAGACAAAATATATATATTTTTGCTCGTATTGAAACGGCTGTATGCCATATGGACCAAAATAATAAATGTATCTGTACAAGAATACGGGTAAAACTTCAGGGTTGACAGGTATGGGACAGTCACCAATACAAAAACATAATTTACAATACTTTGTCAATCTACTTCTGGATAAAGGCATTTCCATAGTCAATAGTTTTTATCATATATTTGAAAGCCACAAGAGTTTGGCAATATGCATGCAGAAAATTAATTTCAGATTTTTTGAAATTCCTGTTAATAGCTGTAACGAAATAAAACTACGAAAATGTTCTCAGTTCAAAGTAACAAGCAACATGAATGGTTAAGAAATTTACAAAAGCAAAATTTTTGCAGCATTTTCCACTTTCAATATATTGCTGCTTTTGTTCATGTCCTAGGTTTGTTTATAACAGTGTCAACTGCTTTCAACAAAGGTCTGAACCAATATTCATGGGAATGTAACTGAGAATAATGTTCAAGGATCATGCACGTTTGAGGTTTATGCTTGTGAGATTTCCATTACAGCAGCGAAATCAAGTATCAGGAATTGCATTTCAATAGGCTTCATGAGCACCTTTAAACATCCGTATCCAAGTTCGTGCAAGGCTGTTTCATTGCTGTTATGGTCCACTGGCTCTTCGCATTCCACAAACTCATCAGGCCTGCAATAATAGGGACAAAGTTTGCACAAATAAAGTTACACAATATATAATAACAGATCTAAAGTTCAGTAACTTACGGAAGAATATGTTTCATGCCATGCTGTCATTACCGATCAAAAAAAACATGTCTGGGTATACAACAATTCCAGCGCTGGCCTGAAAAGCCTTAGTATTCCTGAATGTGACAGGAACAATATCATACGATATTATTTTTAAAAACTTTTGCTAGCTGGCTTCCTGACTGGGGTGGCTAGCATGCAGGCAAGTGTGATGAAGACACGTCCCCCCCACCCATCCTCCACCTTGGCTATCATACTATCATACAATAGCATTTAAAACGTTTTGCTGGCTAGCTGGCATAAGGGGACAGAGAGGGAGCATGAAGAACCTGAGAAATGGGTGATGCATAACATGGATATCTGGGCACAATGGTGCAAAACAAGTTCCATATACATGCATGATGTACAATCCTTTTGTCATTCTCCTGCTGGACGAGGGCCCCCTACAGGCCGCCCTAAGGGGGTTATTTAATAAAACGTTGCCACGCTGATCAGTGCAGTTTGGTGAAGACTCCAAGAGAATGTCTAATCAAGCATGTAACGATTCATCAGTTACCGATGTGTATGTTTTCATGGTTATGCTGTGTAGCTTTCTGATGTGTTTTAGGGTTGTACCCAGTGTTGTTCTGTATAACGTCCGACGTTTTTCTCAATGTGCTGGGAGCTTCTTCAAAATCTGAGCTTCTTCAAGAACTGAATCGTGAAGCTCCGAATAAATTTAACAAAATGGAGGACATTATGCAGAATAACACATTGTACAAACCGAAAATAAATCAGGGAGAGATGCATCAATTAAGCAACTAAAATGTATTCTTCCGCTCAAATACTTAAAACTACATTACCTAGTTTAATGTGACCCTGCAGCAGCCACTAGATGAGCTACATTCATAACAGAGAATGTATCTACTGCAGTTGTGAGGAGGGAATATATTATACGCCAAATGTTTGTGTTGACTGGTGAACGTTAGAGGCCATGGGTGGGTGGCTGTGGAGAGAAGCTATGTTCCACTGTTTGGAGAGCACTGATTCTCACACTTGTGAAATGCCTGAGAATCTGTACTGCTGCCCTGTAAGAGAGCCCAAAACACATCAAACATGCAGCATTTGCCCTCCTCACAGATAGCTGAATTCTCATTGTCTGGGGGTACCAAAGACGCGTCAACAAGAGGCCATACTTGAGAACAACAATAAACCACAGCCAGGAGGAACCGAGGGAGTTGCTCACAAGAAGCTGCACAGAACATTTGGCGACGTGGGGTCGTATTGGACGCCGCTCGTCTCTCCAGCCTCGTAGATGTCGTAGTCTTTGACTTCGGCTCCCATCGTGTCCTCCTGGACTTCAGCCGACTCCTCAGCCACTGAGCAGGATGATACAGATCAGGCATCTGAGAAGTGTTCATCAATTAAGGTCAACAATCCTCATGCTTATGATACACGATTGCAATTTGGGGGGGGGGCAAGCGAATTGAGCATTTGCATTCATGCAATTTTTCACTTTAAACAAACGGCTGGAACAAACAAGTACAAACCAGATGGGCAGTACATGCGAGACACAGTAGAAACGAAATAGAGAAGTACAAATGACATAGAGCAAGACTGTGCAGAACGAGGCAGGCAAGGCGGTATGAAGACAGATAGTACTTACAGTACACACAAGTACTAAGAGATAGGCGTACAAATGATACAGAATTCGACTGACTACACACGAGATAGAACAGGAGAGAATACAGGAAAGACAAACAGTATAATCGAGGACAGTAGAAGACACTAAAGATAGAACGATAGAGACAAAGGAGATCAACAGTACGGACAGTTCAAATCAAACTATAATAGTTTATACAAATGAGACACCAACAGGATGTGTCTGAGCAAAACAAAGTGTCAAATCACCGGGTGGAACGGAAGGATGTGTGTGGTCAGTCTTTCCAGACCTTCCCTTCTTCCCAATTGCGCCATCCGCGTCATGTTATGATGTAAAAAAATTAACCCGTAAAAACAAAGTTTTTCACTATAAATCCTTTATATGTGTGGCGGCTAGAGTCCTCTCGTCCTCTGGCTTGAGATGGCTTGCCACCTATGGGTCAGATGATTGCCTGCCACCATTAAGCAATTGTTAAATAAATATAAAAAATAATTCCTAAAAAGTGTAAAGTTATGGAAAACATTTTTCACGAAAATAAATTGTCACGCACAACGAGTCCTGTGTGCAAAATGTCAGCTCGTTTGGATCAAGGGAAGTGGGTTAAGCGCGCAAGCGCGCGAACTTAATATAAAGGATTTAAAAAGTATCCATCCGCATATCAAGCACAGCAGCAAAGCCCTTCGTGCTAGAGAACAGCCCACGGAAGCGGATACCACAGAGCTACCCCCGAGAAAGCTTCAATTGACGTGGAACCACGTCGAGATATTCAATCCGCACACTTGCGATTTGGCTACATTTTGTGCGGAACCGCATTTAATTCTGTGCCTGGTCAATGTTGACCAAGGCTAAGACCATCAACTCACTACACAACCCGGTTTAATCAAGGGCGGCTGTAAACCTGCATTCGACCACGGGGTTCTCAGCGAGTGCTAGCTCAGCACTCTGACCTCTTGAAATCGTATTCTTAGGTTTTTTCGGTAAAGTCACGTAGATGACTTTACCGAAAAAACCTAAGAATATGAATCATTGCAGTCACGAAAGCTTCAAATCTAGAACTCTTGAAATCGCTTCACACCTAACAACGACGATGGTGATGATGATGATGAAGCCGACGACGACGGCGGCGGCGGTGGGTCGGTGCTGTTCTCGGCCGCGTCCTCAGCCCCGAGCTCGGCTCCTGCGCCCGCCCCGGGCTCCAGGCTCGGTGGCTTCACCGTCTCCACAGCAAAGCCCTGCGTGAGCAGCATCGTCGCCAGCAGCAGCAGCTGGACGCCCACGAGAACGTAGCTCAAGGCCGCCGCTTTCATCGTTGCCAGCGCCACAAACAGCAGCAAACCCCGTAAGCCACCCAACCGGGCTCGCTTGGTCGCCTCGGCCAGGCCTCGAGCGCTTAAGACCCCGCGGAAATCCAGGCGAGGCCGGAGGTCTCGAGGTGTGACGAGGCCCTCGAGAACGAGCTGTGAATGTGGCTCCGACTTGTCAACTGTGCTGCTTAAAGACGAACTCGCTCACTGTTGTGCATTGTGCGTGCTAATTACCGCTGTCACGCGTCTTGTGCGCGCATTCGTTGATTAATTTTTATTGAGCTCGCCTCGAGAATACGCGGAAAGTGGCGAAGATGTTTTGAGCAGGACTTCCAGGTCTGGGTTGGAGAGGAAACCTGAACTGGAGTTCATGGAACGGAGTGGTCTTTAACAGCGGAATCCACTGGAATGGATTCACTCACTCCAGTCCCGTATGAAAAAAACCTTACCGGGATTTGACGTTTACCACACCGTGACGCAATCTGCTGTGACAGCACGTTCGAGGAAAATGCCAATGAATGAATGTGAAAAAAAATAAACCCGTAAAAACAAAGTTTTTCACTATAAATCCTTTATATGCGTGGCATCGGTTTTATTTTTATTATTCATTTCTGTTTTTCTTAAGTAAGAGTTTCATTTTTATCACATTGGTATTTTAAATTAAATATAAAAAAAATCCTAAAAAGTGGAAAATTTAGGAAAAAAAAATTCAAGAAAATAAATTGTCACGCACAACGAGTCTGTGTGCAAAATGTCAGCTCGATTGGATCACGGGAAGTTGGTTAAAAAACGACCGAAAGATTTGCACGGTCGTAAGCGCGCAAGCAAGCAAGTGAACTTAATATAAAGGATTTAAATAAGAGGTTTGACCCTTTCTGGCAGTAAAACAGGTGCCAAGATGTTCAACAAACACCAAACAGAAACCCTCTTGCAAAGAATCATGTTTACATTAACCACACGTACTTGTGGCGAACATTCAAACAAAAACATGCTCTGATAATATACGCCACTGATCTTAACCGTGGCCGCTTTTCGAAGTCTGCCGGGTTCAAGGCGCAGTGTGTTACACCACTGTGCCACCGCTCAATAATAATCAATAATAATGCACGTAAAATTAGTGTTCGAGGTAATTAAGACTTGTATTCATTCTTACTTGAGTTATGTATTTGCATCACCGGTAACCACATTGAAAGCGGATTTTTTTTAAACGCTTACCGGGTTTTGCCTGCATATCCACCACAAACTTTACATTTCAAGTGAAAAACGTATGGAGTTTCCGTGGTGTATTGGTTATATTCAAGGCCGTAGCCATGGAGTCAACATTGTGGGGGACCAAATTTTCCAGGGGGTCTGGGTCCCCCCCCCATAAAAAAAATCTAAATTTAAAAACTAATTTCCTGCCATTTCCTGCCTAAAATATTTTTTAAAATTCACTAACACATGGGATGGACTTTTTATTTATTTTTTACAATAATGTCTAATAGTGTATTGTATTACATTGCTGTTTTTTTCTTTTTTTACCTTTTCTTGTCTCATTGTATGTAATGCCAGAGATATAAAGTACAACCATAACCACAATCTTATCAACAGAAATCGATGCATTGTTATATAAAGACAAATCCAGATATTGTGGCCAAGGTTTAGCAAATTGTTGTTTTTATTGACATAGCATCGCAATTATAATTGTTTTATAGCAATATATTGGGGGGGGGGACATTTTGAGCATATTTGATGATTGGGGGGATGTGTGTCCCCCAATATATATTATAATTACGGCCTTGGTTATATTATCACAGTGGACCTTGCAGTCCAGAGGGTCTCCGATTCGACCCCATCACCCGGCGCGGCATTTGAAACATTGGTGTGAGTTTCTTCCATCCCCAGCCACCTGGCCTGTCCACCCAGCAGTCTGCAGCCACAAGCGATTTGGCAACTCGCGTGCGATGGGGTAAAGTGTGGTGGGCACACTGACCTCTTCCAAGACGTCTGTTGAGCGTGGAAGATTAGACCAAAATACCCTCTCGGGTTCCTTCTAATCGAGGCCCTTCCACCATCAGTCGGGTCAGCAGGACATTGCAGGGGCTGCATTTTTTAAATCCTTTATATTAAGTTCACTTGCTTGCTTAGGACCGTGCAAATCTTTCGGTCGTTTTTTAACCCACTTCCCGTGATCCAATCGAGCTGACATTTTGCACACAGACTCGTTGTGCGTGACAATTTATTTTCGTGAAAAATTTTTTCCAAAATTTTATACTTTTTAGGGGAATTTTTTTTTCATATTTAATTTAAAATACCAATGTGATAAAAATGAAACTCTCGTCCTCTGGCTTGAGATGGCTTCCACCTATGGGTCAGATGATTGCCTGCCACCATTAAGCAATTGGTAATTAAATATAAAAAAAAATTCCTAAAAAGTGTAGAATTTTGAAGAAAAAAATTTCACGAAAATAAATTGTCACGCACAACGAGTCTGTGTGCAAAATGTCAGCTCGATTGGATCACGGGAAGTGGGTTAAAAAACGACCAAAAGATTTGCACGGTTGTAAGCGCACAAGCAAGCAAGCAAGTGAACTTAATATAAAGGATTTAATAAAACCGCTGCCACGCATATAAAGGATTTATAGTGAAAAACTTTGTTTTTACGGGTTAATTTTTTTACCACGCTATCATTGCTAAAAATTACTAATACTAGTTGATTATAAAACGATTACCGGTTTACCAGTTGTTTCAGAACCATAATTCTTCCCCGTATTTGCAATAATGCTGGGAATGTTGTAAATAATTGTATGGCAACGTAGGTGTGACATGTAACCTGCCTGACATGTCGATTGGAAAACTTGATATTAATGGAAAAATATTTCATTGACGTGTTTTTGGCCTAAATGATACGTGCCACACAAATGATATCTGTTCAGACACGTTAGCTGTGGCTGTGAATAGAACTAAGGTTCATAAAGTGTAGCTCCATGACTTCGCGACACACCAAGATTGCATTTTCTAGCAATTTCATGAACATTTAGAGACTAGTGTAATTGCCCCTCGTATGATGGGTTCATTAAAAAAATTATGAAAAGGTTAAAATGTAAAGATTGTATTGAATTAATTTAATCAAAAATGTCTCTATGTAAATCACCTTTATCGTTACAGGAATAAGTATAGACTTGCTAGATTTTATATTGATGTAAATACAAAATAAATTACTATAAACCGAAAGGACAGGTCGGTGTTCACTAATTTTCACTATAAGTGCGAGCAAAAGTCAAAGTGAAATGCATCGAGTTCAAATTAAGTGATGCTGCTTTTTTATTTCAATTTCTATTCTATGTATAAGAAATAAATAAAAACTATTGTCACACACATATTAACCGGATATTTATTATCATTATGTAAAGGTGTGCAAAACGCAAAGATAAAATACAAAAACATGGGGTCATTTGGTTTTTATTATTCTTGTAACAAACTAACAATTAGTTACCATTTTAATAAGCCTTTCATGATTTTTTTGCATAATCCACGGAGCATATCAAGCGTTACACACAGCATACAGTGAGGCATTACAGATCACCAAAATTATATGCATAATGAGACAATGTACATGAATGGATTACGTGTAAAGAGGCAGGCCAACACAAAACTAGTCTGTGGTAAAATGAGTATTCTTACGTTTCTATTCACCACGGTTGAAATTCTAAATAAACACAATCTGTACACATAAAGTTTGTTGCCCTTAGATGATTTAGTGTTGACTTTAAGTAGTTTGTGCATTACTACAGTACTCCACGTGCAAGGTGTTTATACGCCCACGGCTCAAGACTACACCATGTGTTGAGTTGACCGTAGTTCTGTAAGAAAACATCTGCACTTAAATGACGTAAAGCTGACAATGTTGCAACAACCTCCATTAAAGAACAGCGAGGGGATGCCTTAATCCAGCAGTGGCGTGACAAAGGGCTATTAACAAATTAGTCAGGTGACAGGATGGTAACTGATCCAGACACTTTTCCTAAGTGTAATTCCAAACTTGCATAAGCTCCTCCTGGTACGTGACATATTTTTTCCAGACTTGTGATAGATAAAATGCGAACACAAAATATTTTTCAACATTTTATTTGTCTTGAAATTTAAGCACAACTTTGCATTACAAGAATGTTGATATTCACTCTTCTCCCCCAAATCCTCACGGCAGAAAAAAGGCCAAGGATTATTTTTTTCAGGTTGTCTTTAGCTGCACACTCAACTTTACAAGAGCAGCTAAAATAAAGGCCTTTATCAGGCCCCATAGAGTTAAAAACAGACTTGCGACCAATGTTCCAATTGTAAAAAATTGTTTTTTTGTTGTGAAATTGCTCGTTTGTTTCTCAATCTGCTTGTCCCGGTGAGGGTCGCGGCGGCAGAATGTTGAGTAGGGCGGTCCAGACCTCTCTTTCCCTGGTGACAAACCCTAGCTCTTCCTGGGGAATTCCCAGGTGTTCCCAGGCCAGCCGAGTGACATCGTCCCGCCAGCATGTCCTGAGCCAGCCCCAGGATCTTCGCCCAGTGGGACGTGCCCAGTAGAGTTCTAGCGGGAGTCTACCGGGGGAGCAGCAGCTCGACACCAAGGCTCTCCAGGATTACAGCGCTCCTTACCCTATGATGGAGATTGAGCCCGGCAACCTTGTGGCAAAACCTCATTTCAGCCCCTTGTAATCACGATCTCATTCTTTCGGTAAACCGAGAGGTGTTCGAGAACTCAGCTCCTGCTTCACTACCACAGAACAGTAAAGCTCCCACAACACCGCGGACGCCACACTGATCCACTGGCCGATCTCCCGCTCCCCACATACCATCACTCGTGAAAGAGACCCCGAGGTACTTAAACTCCTCCACTAAGGGCAGCTTTTCCCACCTCACCTGGAGAGCACAATCCACTGTCTCCCAGGAGTGAACCATGACCTAAGATTAGGAAGTGCTGATCCTCATCCCAGCAGCTTCACACTCGGCATCAAACCGTTCAAGTGCACACTGGAGATCACAGACTGACGAGAGAAAGAGAATATCATCTGCAAAATGCAACGACGCTACCTCCATGCTCCCGTACTGGATACTCTCCATACCTCGGCTGCGCCTTGATATCCTGTCCATGAAAATCACAAACATGAGGAGAGACAAGATGCACCTTTGGCAGAGTCCAACACCCACAGTGAACGACTTCGATTTAACACCAAGAATACACACACAGCTCTCACTGCGGGAAGAGGGACCGGATAGCATGCAAAAGCAGCACCGGTACATCATTCTCCCGCAGCACCTCCCACAAGACATTGCGGGGAACATGGTCATATGCCTTCTCTAATTTTACAAAGCAGAGGTAGACTGGAGAAGCATACTCCCATGACCCCTCAAACATCTGAGAGGCAAAGAGCTGGTCCATTGTTCCATGACCCTGATGGAATCTGCATTGTTCCTGCTGAATCTGAGGCTAGACCACCGGACGGGTAGCCTTCTCTCCAGCACTCTGACATAGGCTTTACCTGGGACGCTGAGCAGTGGCGTAGCTAGGATATTTTGCGCCCGGGGACGAACTATAAAATTGGCGCCCCCCCCCCCCGTTTAATCACATACCAAAATGTAATTACATGACATGTAGGCTGTGTGTGGCGGGACATATAAATTTTTAGGTTGAGGTGTAGATTTGTGCAGTAGTTTCAGGCTGCCGCGCCCGCCGCAATAAGTTATAATGTAACGTTGTAAGCCTCATTTTGGCGCCCCTTTACCTTGGCGCCCGGGGACATATGTACCCCCCTGCCCCCCCTAGCTACGCCTCTGACGCTGAGCCCTCTGTAGTTGGACCACACCCTCTAGTCCCCTTTCTTAAAAATGTGGACCACAACCCGTTTGCCAATCCAGAGGTACTGTACCCACCTCCCATGCAACATTGAAAAGGCGTGTTAACCATGACACTCCTACACTTTCCAGCACTTTTAACAACTCTGGGGGAAAATCTCATCCAGCCCAGCAGCTTTGCCGCTACGAAGGCCCTCGACCGCTGCAGCGACTTCAGCAGGTGGATGGATCCCCCCCCCCCCCCCCCCCCGCAGCGGTTTCCAGGGCTGCCTCCTGAGACAAGGGCATATCCACGGCGTTGAGGCGCCCCTGAAAGTGTTTATTCCACCTCTCGACCATCTCCTTGAGTTCAATGTTACGCCACCCTTACTGAGAACAGCCTTGGTCACGTCCCGTCGACCCCTCCTAAGGCATCGATTGGTTTGCCAGAACATCTTTGAGGATGCCCAGGAGTCCCTCTCCAAACTCCTCCCACATCCGGGCTTTTGTGACTGCTACCGCTTCCGCCCTCTTGGCAAGCCCGTACCTCTCAATCGAGTGGAGAGACCTTTTTCCTGAGCATAGCTCAGAAAGCCTCATTCTTCAACTTGACAGCTTTCCTCACCACTGGTGTCCACTAGCGGGTCCTAGGGTTGCCACCATGACAGGCACCAACTGCCTTCAGGCCACAGCTTTTTGCAGCTACATCGACAACCATGGTCATGAACATCGTCCACTCGGACTCAATATCCATGACCTCGAAGTGTAGAATAAGTTTTCTCGGAGGTGGCAGTTGACATCTTTCTGCACTGGGTCTTCCGGCAGACGTTCCCAGAAAACCCGCACTATTCATTTGGGCCTTCCATGTCTATCTGGTCAGTGTCCCAAGCGTTGGATCCAACTTCCCACCAGGTGGTGATCAGTTGACAGCTCTGCCCCACTCTTCACCCGAGTGTCCAGAACATACAGCCTTAGGTCCGATGATCCAACTATCAAGTCAATCATTGACCTTCAGCCCAAGGTACTCTGGTACCAAGTACACTTATGAGCATCCTTGTGTTCGAACAAGGTGTTTATTGACATTCCATAACAATTGCAGAATTCCAATAACATCTCACCATTCGGGTTCAGATCAGGGTGGCCCATTCCTCCCAATAGCGCCTCTCCAGGTATCTCCATTTCCCACGTGAGCATTGAAATATAGTAAGAATATGGAGTCTATAGGCAGCATATTCTGAATGGCTGTTTGGTGCATAAGCACAGAATTTTCCTTTCCGAGACACAAAGTCTCATTGAGGTAGCCCTCTCATCCACTGGGACACTCTCCAACTGAACAGCACCCAGCCGGGGTCCTTGTGAGTATCCCCACAACCATCCAGGGCCTCTCATCAGGGGATACTCTGGAATAGGAGAGAAACCACCCCCGATCGAGAAGTTTGGTTCTCGTGCCAATTCTGTGTGTGGAGGTGAGACTGACCTCCAACAGCTCTGGCTCATTCCCCCCAGCAGCCTGACATTGGACGTCCCAATAACTAGTATCCATTGCCAAAGTCCAGTCCATCCAAGACCATCCCTCTCCCTGCTATACTGGCATCCCAACCGCCCTCACCCTTCGTCCTGCGGATGGTGGGCCCACAGGACGGCACCAAATAGCCATTTCGGGCTGGGTCCAACTGGGTTACGTGGGTCACCCAGGCGCTTGCCAGCAAACACCACCCCCAGGCCTGGCTCCAGGTGGGGGGGGGGGGGGGGGGTGTCCCAGTATACCTTGTCTGGGAAAGGTTCTCAGGATTTTTATATTTCAGAACCATTCATAAAGGGCTTGTTTTGGACAATTATTTGTCTGGAACCTCCCCCCCAGACCTGGTCACAAAGGGAGAGCCAACTCTGAGTACAAGGACTCCAGGCAACAGCTCTGAAGGTTATTGGAACACACAAACCCCACCACCACAATAAGGTTACGATCTTTCGATTTAAAGCTTTCGTGACTGCAGGGATTCATCTTCTTGGTTCTTTCTGTAAAGTCACGTAGAAGGGAAATAATAAAATAAAACATAATTTTATTGTAATAAAATAATAAAAATAAAACATAAAAGTATGTTTAATTTTTATTATTACAATAAAATTATAAAAATAAAACATAATAAAATTGTTTTATTTTTATTACTTTAATAAAACATAATAAAAAATGTTTTAGTTTTATTATTTCCCTTCTACGTGACTTTACCAAAAGAACCAAGGAGGTTACGATCCTTCGGTGTATGTAATGCAATAAAAACCCTCAAGTTGACATCACCATTCCCACGTGCTGAAACTAATGCTCTGGCGAATCAAACTAGACCCTTCATACCAATTTTAATATTTAGTGGACTACAGTACAGTATTCATAATCAACGTTTTTGGGTTTAGACCGCGTTATTTATAAATGTGTCGTAGCCCTCCACCACCCGATGCAGTCAATCAGTAAAAAAAAGTGTCACGTTGACAAAAGACAAATAGTTCACTGCTTTAGCCCACCGGTGTGTGTTGAAGCGTGAAACTACATTTACAATTTGAGTACGACGTTTCGCTGGTAATTGCATCCAACATTGGGCAATTCGCTAGAATGGTGAGGCTCTGCTCTGTCTCCCGTTCTTATATAGAGCAGCAGCAGGGTGACGTCATCATTAACTCATCAGGTGCAACGATTTGAGGGGGGGAGGTTATTGTAATTTTAACTGAGTTTGGTATTACCTTCGAATCTCTGCACCTTTTGAGGAACGCCAATGAAGATATCAATTTCATCCGCTTAATGCGGAGCTTCTCCAATTTTCTGGTTTTAAGAAAAGTATCCTCCCCATAGAGGTTAGTCAGTTTAATATTTAGTGGACTACAGTACAGTATAGCGATTCTTACACCCCAACTTTATTGTTTGTTGAATTAACTACCTAATGTAATGAAAAAAACACTCATTTGAATATCTGAAACGCATTATGTAAAAAAAAGCTAAACCAAACGACATTTTATCCTTACATACTGTAACTATGGACGTTTAACTTTTTCCACACCGTACTATAATAGGTGCCTTTTGAAAAGCTTTATGCAAGTTTAAAACAAATCGAGCATTACTTATTTTACTACATTAAAACACAATATATGGTCAATACACTAAAGACTAGTCAATCTATTTCAGCAGTGAAGCTTTTAGATTTGTATATCGTAAGCAAAGACGGACTTGTACTGTAGCAGAAACCACATCAAAAGTGGGAGGGTGGCAAGAGATGGTGTGACTGGAGGTGTTCAGAGCCACTCTGGGTCCATGCCAGGAGTGGGTTCTTCGGCGAATGCCTCTTCTGATGTCTCAGGCTTCCATTCCTCATCTTTCCCCTCAGCGGTGGCGTCACTGCTCACTGGTCGTATTGCCGATGTTTGCTTCAGCCTGCAAAACAACCACAAAATAATAATCAAAATCTCGACTCGGTTGGAGTTTTGTACAGGCTTCTCTATAACTAAAACTGTAAACAATCTTTTTCCCTAGTGTCCAGTGGGAGGCGTGTTTGGTCGCTTGGGATTAGATGAGCTCAGAGGGACGTAAAGGGCAGAATAAAAGGGTAGGGGACAATTATGTTGAGTTGCAAGCCATGATCACTGGTGGAGGATGCAAAGGAAGCGAGGAAGTGGTAATCGTGCTATATATGCATACATTTGTGTGGGAGCCATGAGAACATATGCATGTTGTGGGAGGGACATTAATATAATTAATTAAATCACACGTAAATATAATAAAGTACTAACTTCCGGCTCCCGTACAGTCGGTCTATTTTTTTTTTATTCTTTGTGACCAGCAGATGGCAGCAAATAACCATTAAATGAACGAACGATTCTTCAATTATAACTTATGGTAACGCTCACACAAGACGACGTAATGAATCATGCATATCTGAATGAGGTATTTATTAATACAAATTATACACAACCTTTAAGCGAATTGAATTATCAAGACAAAGGCAACAGATGGTCAAAAAATTCTTAAATATAATCCGCTCAAATCTAATCATTTCACGATGTGTCAAAGGGAGAGGAATTATTTCATGCTTACTAGCAAGTAGCTCACATCTGCCGAGATGTTTTACTATATCCCCAGGTATAGAGGAGTTTTCTCCAGATAATCAGATTGTCAAATACACAAAATAAGAAATTGTACAAACATCTCAAGACTTGTAAATGAAAGCCACGTAGAACTGAAGTATTTTAGTGGAAAAACTACATTATATGAAGTTGATCAACCTTTCCGTGTCAGGAGGAACATGCTTCGCCTGTTTAAATGTGACTATTACGACAGTATATTGGAGTCTAGAGGAATATTTATAATGCTAAAAGGTAGTATTTTTTGTTTAGCTTTTTATAGATTAAAACATGTAATTAAAAATGCTAAATAACTTATTTCTGCACAAACAATATATGGACAGAGTTTTCATGTTGCAATGCATCAAGGACAAATTATAAATTCTCCCTCGTGCAAAAGCCTCAAAATCTAAATAATTATCGTCGATTATATTTCAATACCACTATTACATGAAACTAATGGGAATAAATTTATCTTACATATGTAAAAACATTATTTGTATCAAGTGCTGCAAAAGACCATGACTTACTTGTTTTGATGTTTGTTGCCTTTGAGATGATTCTGGTATTGATCCATTGAGTTTAGGTTCACATTACACAAATCACAGACATAGGTGGTCTTGGCGGCTAAAAGAAAAAAAATTACACTGTTAATCATCACAAGATGAAGATATGACCATTCCTTAAAATACATGTGCTTTCAACACTATACATACAAATATTTTATTTAAAAAAGTACTGCATTGAAGAAAAACTAGTATTACAAAGCAATGGTGACATGAAATATATTATCCAGTACACAGTGCTAGCTTCACATTATGCTGTATATTAATTTTCGATTTAAAGCTTTCGTGACTGCAGGGATTCATCTTCTTGGTTCTTTCGGTAAAGTCACGTACAAGGGAAGTAATAAAATAATAAAAATAAAACATAATAAAATAATTCTCACGACGGCTGCTTGCGTTGTGGCCAAAACGTCGTGAGAATTATTATTTTTTATTATTATTTTATTACTTCCCTTCTACGTGACTTTACCGAAAGAACCAACAAGCTGTATATTAATGTAAAACTACAAAATTATTTCTTACGTGCAGGGGTAGGAGTTGTGACCACACTTGCAGGCTCCCTTAATGTTTGAGCGCGTGCAGCATTCTTTCGGTGCTTCTTTCCTTCATAATGTTGAGCTGCCATTCCAGGATTATTAAAAAATGCATTACAAAGCCTGCACAGCTTTTGTGGGTCAGATCCTGCCAGAGGAGAAGCATTGACCAATGCAGCGTCTTCGACTGGGCCCGGGTTTGCAGCACCACTTGGAGGGATCACCACTGCGGATATAAACAGGCAACACATGTGAATTACTCTATACTTTAACACCAGTCTCCTCACTCGGCCTCGGCAAGGTAAGGTAAAATTGTAAAAACAACGAGCCTACACCTTTACCCTACCTTTTACCTTACCACAATACAATCACTCTACCCTATCTTTTACCCTTTAGCAGGTAAGGTAAAAGGTAAAAAGCAACGAGTCTACCTTTTACCCTACCCTTTACCCTACCACAATACAATCACTCTACCCTACCCTTTACCCTTACCCCTTGGCATGTCGACACCTTTACCCTTTTACCCGGTAAAAAAAGGTACAATTACCTTTCCTTGCCGAGGCCTACTCCTCACTCAACAAAATATACTGTATTAAATATATTACCATATTCTGCAGATTATAAGACACTCTGGAGGGTTAAGACACCCCCCCCCCCAACTTTTGCTTTAAAATACAGAGAAAAAAGTGTCTTATATGAGAATAGGTTTTCCCATTTTTTCTGGCAAAAAAAACAGGTGTTAAGATGTTAAAACACTAAATTGAATCCTTCATGTCTGCATTAACCACAATACACTTGTGGTCAGAATGCAAACAAAAAACACTGATAATATATGCATTGTCTTTGAAACTGGCGTCCTCTGGTCTAACACCGTTTCGAGACTAGGCTCATAAGAAAGCTGTCTCTGGTGTGGATCAGTTTCAAAGACAATGCATATATTATCAAAGTATGTTTTTGGTTTGCATTCTGACCACAAGTATTGTGGTTAATGCAGACATGATTCCTTGTAAAAGGTTTCAGTTTGGCGTTTTAACATCTTAACACCTGTTTTGTTGCTAGAAAAAAGGGGAAAACCTATTCCCATATTTTGGTACTGGCAAAGGAGGTCCCATGATGTAGTGTCTTACAACTCAGAGAATACAATAGCAATGTTACAAATTACATACACCCGATCTCATCAGATCTCATAAGCTAAGCTCGCTTGATCCTGGATATCACATGAATGGGTGACTACCGTGCATAAACATAGGTATGATGGGCGGTTGTGAAGCTACGTTGACAGCAGAGGGCAGTGAAGCACAATACATTGTTGTATTGTACTGTGTTCCAATGCCTAAGGTCCCTGGCTTCACAAACCCTGACCAGCGTGAAGGATGGTCAAATAGCCCTCGTATCACGTGTGGCATGGAAAGGCCATCATCCAGCAATAGATTGACATTTACAAATTCCAATTAAGACAATCAAGTACATACCAATTAAGTTATTTTTCCCAATTTAAGTTCGAATCAGTTTTGGGCATTCTGGTGAAGAAACTTGAGTGTTTGCAGGGTTTTCATGATTCAATCATGTACATACATATTAACAAATTATTATACACAATACATTTAATGTATTTTGCAAGAAAATTTATCAATTTTACTCTACAGTTCGATACACAGTTACATCATATTTTAGATAACAGCTGATGCATAATGATTACACAGCCTCAAAAATACTGTGAATATATATTGAAAAAGCCACATAGTATATCATTTTCAAGCTAGTTTGTTGGTAAATTATTGCCTATTCATGTGCATCTATTGGTGAACACAACCTTACAGTAACTTTCAAAATATGATTGCTCAATCAATGTGCCTTCAAATGGCTATAGCATGTTAATACAAGTTGTTGTCCCAATTGTTTGCGCATGCCATTGTGTTAAAATCCTTCCATTCACTGCAAATGCACTTACCCCTTTTGGACGCAGGGCTCACAGTAGCAGTGGCATCTTCAGTGCCCAACATCAGCTTCAGCTTCTTGGCATGGGTCTTGCCTTGGTAATGTGCCTGAGCCACTACAGCTGAATTGAAGACCATGCTACAAAGGGTGCATGCCTTCATACGTTCCACTTCTGTGGAATCCTCAGTGCCGCCAGGCTGCCAGTGACACAGTAAATGCAAAAAGTAACATCTCTGTACGTGACAAATCCCAATTACAGAATAATGGAAATCTTTATTAAAGAACTAGATAAAAGTGATATTTTGTATATATAATAAGAGTTGTTATTTAGTGGCAAGGCCTCACATTTCCATTTGTTAAAATATGCATGACTTGTGGGACAAGAAAAACATTTCACAAAGCAGTCAAATTATTTAAACCATACAGCAGTTAGATACAGTATTCGACGTGTTTTTAATGCACGTGAATAAAAAACACTAATCATTGATTCCTTAATACATTAGTGTATTTTTACTTAGTATTTCACAATTTGTAGATAAGATTGCAAAAAAATGAAGCCGACAGTGCATGTATTGTCATCTGTTTGGCCAAAACAGCAACAGAACTTCTTGCAAAAAAATTAAGTCCAAAGAATTTTATGAATCAGACTCACCACCTCTGTTCGGAGCATCTTTGGCACAGGACCATCTTCTGAGTTCAGCATTGAATGCATGCGCACTTTATTGGCATGCTTACGGCTCTGGATACAAAAATTATAGGACAGGGACATGAATATATTTAGCATCCATTTTGCACATATGAATGTTGAAACATACCACAAATTAAATTAGATGAAGAAAACTGCACCTGATAATGAGCCAGGCGCTGTGACTCGGAGATGAGCTTTGCAGAGCAAACTTTACAGAAGGTTTCAGTGAACAGGACGCCATCCAACTCGAGCTCTGGTTTCATCTGTAAACAAAAAGTGTCATTTGAATGTATTCAAACAAAATAACTACGTATTAGCTTTTAACATCTGACAATTTTGATGACAATATTTACACATTTCCTTAATTTGTGGTTGGTGTTTTTGTACTTTCGACCACAATGCTTGGAGGGCATGTGACATATAGCAATACCCTTAACTTTTATTTCTGTGATTGGTTTCTTACAGTACTGCATTTCCGTCAGCTTTCGTTGGAACAAAATATCCTTCTAACCATTATACAGCCCCAACTGCCTTAGTTCCACTGAAAAATACGAGGATTGCTTCTGACCATAATTGTCATTGCAAGCCACTGTCCCTCAATTTGCATTCATCCATGAGATGAAGTGGCTATATCAGATGTCATCTTAAGTCCCTGGCAAGTCAGCTGGAAGTCTCGTGGGCCTGCTGCTTTTCATTTCAAGATTTTTTTTTGTTAACTCAACTTTCAAAATTAACCACGAACTACAGCTTGTAGTTAATAATGTTGAATTGAATTGAGTAATTGGACATGGCTAATCGTGCTTGTCTGAAATCTTTTGCTTAAAAATTTTTAAAATTATGGTACGAAGTGCTCACTCCAGTAGCTCAACTCCATGCTGGCTCCAGATTTTACCTGCCTTCGACTCCACGGTTATAAAAAAAACATAATCAATCTGTTTTCTTGATAGTAACATCATCATCCTTTTCAGGTCTTAAAATTTGCATTAATATGAATAGTCCAATGTGAATGTGTGTTATATTAAAGAGGATAAATATGTGACATTTGGTTTTAAGATTAAAATATGCAGCCAACGAAGGTTCTTGGAGTGGGCCTGCTGAGATTTAACCCAACGACAGATTGAGATTTAGAAATTATTTATTATTCGCAAAAAATACGATTCGTGCATCAAATCTCAAATTAGGCGTGTAACAGTAAATACTGTATATGCATTATCAATCATTAGTACTCACTCCACATGTACTCAATCGCATGTTTAAAAAATAATGGTCTTACACATATGCAAATGGTATGTAACTGTAGCTAATGAAAAAATACACAAAACGGATACTATAGAAAGTAAAAACAAGACACAAAATTGTTGATACTTGAATCAAGCTATTTAGTTTCTGTACAGTCATAACCCTAAAAAAAGTTGTTTTTTCAAATCGTATTTAATGTGTTAGCCAGGCATCTCCTGCAGCTGCGAAAGACCATCACGACTGTGTTGAATGAGAACATATCTGCAAACTGCATTGATTCTGGAAGGCGTTTCTGACATTGGTTTGCTCACAAGTGTTCAATTAGCGATAATAACAAGCCACATAGCGAGACATCACACGGCAGATGACCTACGAAATAGCTCAAGCAAACTTGTTTATCCGTATTCTTGTACAGGAAAATTTAGTTTTTAGGTCCATACTGCGTACAGCCGTTTCAATACGGTAAAAAAAATAGTTTTTTTGTCTATTTGTTTGTGTTTCTCCCTTGTGATGGGGCTTTGTAGGATGAACGTTGAGATGTATAAGGGCACGGGGTGACCAGTAAGGTCTGAATTGGTCTGTAGTAAGTTAGGGCACTGATAAGGCATGCTCACGTGGTGGGGAGGAGAGGCTTAAGTACATAGCATTTTACATCATTTCCTTGTCGAATAATAGACTTATTTAGCACTGGTTTTCATGATTGAAACGTTTTTAGGCAACTCTTTGATGAACCGATCCAGTTTGCTCTAAGTAATAATAAATGTACACCTAGGCTATAGTCGGCTGTCCCTTGCAAATTAAATAACACATTGAAACCTTCTCGCGTGATCGGAAACACGTGGAGCTTAACATACCAGAACTTCATCAAAAGCTGGTGTCAAGCCAACATTACATGAGAAAGCATAACTTACTATTAAAAACCATATCGCACCCCACTCTATATTTAAATGTGCCAATATCAGTAACATTACTAAACGTATTAATCCATCCACTTTAGAACTCAATAAGGGTGACTGACCATCAATAAGTTTAACAAAAGCCCTTGCTTTCTCTGCACTGTGCCTGTGATAATTACAAGATAGCTTACCGTCCACTATTGATACATAATTTCGTAATTCCAGTGGTTTGCACTCTGCAACTTAAGATGTATAACGTAATTGGGCAGCAACGCACATTTACGTGATAACCTTGCAAAACCGTGACCATCGCAAACACACTTTAAGCACAATCTCCCCTCCGCCGACTTAAAATACCAGATACCCGAAATAATAACCCATCAATCACAGACAAATGTCCCCTCTAAGGGTGCACACAAAGGTAGTTAAATAGTAAAGTCGTCTTCTCTGCGGTGCCACTTGGGACACCTTCAATGCCCGCTGTGTTGCATCTCCCCATCATCAGGACAATGAACAGCAGCAGCAGTGATACACAACACAAACACCGCAACATTCACATACACGCCGGCAAACATCACTCATCAGCAAATGAAACATCGGTATTTCAACGCGCGTTGCGACACCGATAACAGAGCTTATTTTATTTTAATTCATTTCTACATTTAGAAAATACCGAAGCCGTGAGCCACAAGGCCTTAGGCCCGAGGCTTCGGCGTCAATCGCCATTACAAACCCGCCGCGCTCCCAAGCCGCAGCAGCAGCTCAGAGGAGCGGCTTCGTCTCTCGCTCGGCGTAGAAACATGAAGACAAAGCCTCCCCCTCCCGTGGCTCGCAAACAAACCTTGTTGTTGTTGTTGTCGCCTCCGCCGCCGCCGTCGCCAGACGTGTTGGCAGGCGAGAGAGGCATCGTGATGTGCGCCGCGCTGAGGTCGCCCGCGGCTGCTCAGACCTTCGCCTCAATCGTTTCGGAGCCGCGGTGGAGAGACCCCCACCCCTCGTCCCTCCCCCCCACCCCTCGTCCCTCCCCCCCACCCCTCGTCCCTCCCCCCCACCCCTCGTCCCTCCCCCCCACCCCTCGTCCCTCCCCCCCACCCCTCGTCCCTCCCCCCAACCCCTCGTCCCTCCCCCCACCCCTCGTCCCTCCCCACCCACCCCTCGTCCCTCCCCCCACCCCTCGTCCCTCCCCCCCACCCCTCGTCCCTCCCCCCCACCCCTCGTCCTCCCCCCCAACCCTCGTCCCTCCCCCCCACCCCTCGTCCCTCCCCCCCACCCCTCGTCCCTCCCCCCCACCCCTCGTCCCTCCCCCCAACCCCTCGTCCCTCCCCCCCACCCCTCGTCCCTCCCCCCCACCCTCGTCCCCCCCCCACCCCCTCGTCCCTCCCCCCACCCCTCGTCCCTCCCACCCACCCCTCGTCCCTCCCCCACCCCTCGTCCCTACCCCAACCCTCGTACCTCCCCCCACCCCTTCCCTCCCCCACACCCTCCCACCCCCCACCCCACCACCCCCCCACCCCCCCCCTCCCCCCCACACTGCCATCCATCCCCCCCATCCCCCCCCCACCCCCCATCCCTCCCCCCACCTCCATCCATCACCCACCCAACACCCACCCCATCCCCCACCTCCCACTCCCCACCCCCCATCACCCCCCCCCATCACCCCCCCCCATCACCCCCCCTGTCCTTGTCAGGTTCTCGAGGGTTTCCCTCCAGATTTTTTTAAATTTAAAAACATTTATCGAGATTTTTTTTAATTTAAAATCTCGATAAATATATACAGGGTGTCATATTCTTGGTTCTTTCGGTAAAATTTTCAAATTTATTGCTGTAGATTTCACACCTGATGATGATTGCTTGTGTTGCAGTCGAAACGTCGTGAGAATTTGTATTGTTTTATATTTCATTATTTTATTATTTCCCTTCTACGTGACTTTACCGAAAGAACCAAGAATATAGGTTCTCCAGGGTTTCCCTCCAGATTTGTATTTATTTAAAAACATTTATCGAGATTTTTTAAAATTTAAATCTCGATAAATATATACAGGGTGTCATAATATTTTTGGTTCCTTCGGTAAGATCACGTAGATCAAATAATTAAAAAACAATAACAATTGTATTATTTGTAAAATAATAAAAAATAATAACAATTTTATATTCTTGGTTCTATCGGTAGTCACGTAGAAGCGAAATAATAAATTAATAAAAATGAAACAAAACAGTTCTCACGACGTTTCGATTGCAACACAAGCAATCATCATCAGGTGTAAAAATCACAGCACTCCCATAACCAAAAAAAAATTATTGCCGTGGTTTTCACACCTGATGATGATTGCTTGTGTTGCAATCGAAACGTCGTGATAATTTTATTGTTTTATTTTTATTATTTTATTATTTCCCTTCTACGTGACTTTACCGAAAGAACCAAGAATATTGTGGTATTGTTGCAAATTCTCAGATGTGTTTAACATTTTTTTAAAGCCCCCTGTGAATATTTAAACGACTAAAATAGATACGACGGCGACGTGTCTCCGTCGCGTTATACGTCGTGTCCGCGTTCAAATAAATGAACGATATTCTTGGGTCTTTCGGTAAAGTCACGTAGATAGGTTCAAAGAAAATAACAAAAAAACTACGACGTTTCGATAGCAACACAAGCAATTGTCATCAGGAGATAAAAAATAGCGTGAAAGCTGCTGAGGCAGGCTGTTTTAAAGGTTTGAAATGGGCGTAGCCCAAGGGTCATAAGCGAAGTGGGCGGGGCTAGTGATGTTAATGTGATACATTTGCATGTCAATGTAAGACTGGAGAGCCACCGCCACATCGAGGAAAACGAGCAACGGTGGCTGTGTTAGTGAGACATTTAACCTGTTAATGTAACGACATTTAACCTGATAATGTAAAAATAGAGAGTCGAAAATAACTACTAACATCGGAAGGAAGGATGGAAACATCACAGCCAGTTATAACTTAAACTGGTTAATAACGTCCTTCCAATGATTGAGTGGCAGGTGCTAGTGATGGTAAAGTGAGAAATTTGCATGTCAATGTAAGATCGGAGAGCAGGATAAATTAACGAATTTTAATTTTTATTTCGTACGCGACCCATTGGCCACTCTCACATCATTTCAGCACCATTCGCATACCCTGTCAACCCATACGGTTTACCCCGTATTGTTGTACAGGGAAATTTAGTTTTTAGGTCCATACGGCGGACAGCCGTTACAATACGGGAACATTTTTTTTGTCTATTTATTTGTGTTTCTCCCTTGTGATGAGACTTTATAGAATGAACGTTGAAATTTGTCAAGGGCAGGGGATGACCAATAAGGTCTGAATTTGTCTGTAATAAGCTAGGCACTGATAAGGGTTCACAGGTATGCCATTGGTTCTAACGAAGTATAATATCTTTGATAATATTCATAGGTGGCGTTTGACTTCTATATTTGGGGGAGCAGGGGTTCGCTTTATCCCTCACATTAAGAATCGAGGGTGCATATTATGTATTTATTTTTAAGCAATTGGAGGTTAAACATAACTCACATCAATCAAAGTTAATGTTTCTGAGCTTCAGAACTCCGGCGTATTTAAGTTGCATTGTCGTTGCGGTCAATGTTACTTGGAACTAACTGGATAAAACAACATCCCAGTGATGCATGCTAATAAGTATAACCAGTACTACCAGTACTATAAATCCTTTATATGCGTGGCGGCTAGAGTCCTCTCGTCCTCTGGCTTGAGATGGCTGCCACCTATGGGTCAGATGATTGTCTGCCTGTATTAAGCAATTGGTAATAAATATTTAATTTGTTTTCCCTAAACAGTGTAAAATTTTGGAAAAAAATTTTCACGAAAATTAATTGTCACACACAACGAGTCTGTGTGGAAAATGTCAGCTCGATTGGATCACGGGAAGTGGGTTAAAAACGAGCGAAAGATTTGCACGGTCCTAAGCAAGCAAGCAAACTTAATATAAAGGATTTTAAAATATATTCGCCTGTGGAGGACCCAGGGATCGATCCCGCGACCTTTGGCATGGGAAGCGAGGGCGCTACCAACTGCTCTACTCTGCCACGGCCTGTGGAGGGGTTATGCTCTGGGCTCCTATACTGTGACGTTCAGCCAAAGCCATGAATGAGTTCTATTTGAATAAATGTAAAATAAAATTTTTTTGCCTAAAAAGTGTAAAAATTTGTAACATTTTTTTCACGAACATTAATTGTCTCGCACAACGAGTCTGTGTGCAAAATGTCAGCTCGATTGGATCACGGGAAGTGGGTTAAAAAAACGACCGAAAGATTTGCACGGTCGTAAGCAAGCAAGCAAGCACGCAAGCACGCAAGCAAGCAAGCAAGCATGCGAACTTAATATAAAGGATTTGAAAAAGACCACTGCTCCAGGTGCAGATCACTGCCTGGTGAATATAACATTTATTCTGCTTAAACAGAGGCCCTATGTAGACATAGAAAGTATTATTATCAGCGCTTCATCCATAGAGGACTACACATATATAGACATCAGAATCGAAACTTCAAAAGATGATGGCTTCAAGTTAAATAATATTTGGAAAAGTGTCATTAGACATTTTGATGTTACCAAATAATGTATGATTGTAACTGTAATACCTTATTTGTTAGGATGCATGACTACCCAATATATACAGGAACACGCGTTTTCTTTTAATATATTTTGTTGATTAAGTATAGGTAGCTGTGACGATACAAATATTGCATAGGTTATTTCAGGTTGTCATTGTTCCTCCCCTTGTTCAGGAATTTAATATAAATCTGCGATAATATAGTTTATATACGCAGATTCAGTCATGTTTAATTGGTTAATACATTGTCAAGGGTGCCATCTGATGATTTACACTTTAGTGGACATACACCAACAAGGCAATTAGGATACTTCCATGCACATGCTCAAATCAATAGCATGCCTATATTAATGTATTGATAGGTGCGTCGTTTGAAGGATTACACGTAACCTGATTAAATGGCACACACCTGAGCAGATACATACACACTCCCACACATTAACAAGGCAATTAGGACATCCCATATCAACATTAAATAATCTATTTGGAGACGTCCATTATAAAATGGTGAAATCTGTATTGCTTAAATAATTATGTAGCTACAGCCTACAGCTCCGCGAACAGTCAGTCCAGCGATGTCTTCCACGTTGCAGTTTCTGGTCCCATGCCCTGGGCTGCTCCTTTATATTGTACCCTCTCTGCCCGCCTTTAATTGGACAGCACCCTCAGCCCCTGACTGCCACGTGACTTCAATTATCTCCATATGTACATTTCGCTGTCCCCATACAGTCCCCTACGGGCACCTGTTCCCAATCAAAGTGTGCACTTTATAATTTCTCCAAACAGTCCCATACACATGCACACGTAGATTGCTTACACACATCAATTGATTGTTGCATCCTTGATCGTGGAATCACAGCACTCGAGGATGTGAAATCATCCTTCCAACAACCTTTAAATTCAAACCACAGCAGAACAAGCCGCAAGGTTGTTTGCGGGCACAGCCAGTGCTAGGCTTGTCCACTTTACCACGTCCGAGTATGAGAGCGGAATTGATTGTCGAAACGTAACAGAACTGAGGTTAATTTAAAGATTGCTCGACAAAGCCCTCCATTCCTGTTGATCTGTAGCGTCAGCGCATAACGTGGCAACTTATAGCGGGGATTCATTATGTATATTCAAATTGAATAATTTGCAGGTTATTCCGTATGTATTTGTACAAATGCCATACTTTTCAACCCCTTATCAGTGCCTATCTTATTACAGACCAATTCAGACCGAATTGGTTACCACGTGCCCATATAAATCTCAACGTTCATCCTACAAAATCCCATCACAAGGGAGAAAAACAAAAAGAAAAAAAATGTTGCCCGTTTTGAAACGGCTGTTTGTCGTATAGACCTGAAAACTTAATTTCCCTGCACAAGAATACGGGTAAACCGTATGGGTTGACAGGAATGAAATGTTTA